CCCCATATGTCCATATAAAGATGAACGCATGTCGATATGAGATGGTGCCCATTAATATCTTGTACCCTCGAATTCAAATACGAATGAACAGTGTAAGCTTTACTCCCCAAAATAGTTTCTTGATACAAAATTCACAATCTTTTTCTATGTAGTATCTAAGCTTTTCGCTATCTAATTTGTGTTGTGATGTTTCTTCGACAAATACTACTTCAAATAAAAATTGCTGCAGTGTGAATGGCCAGTTAGCCTTTGATCACCTGTGCTATGGTTCTGTTCACTGCTCTTCGGTTTTCATTTCACAGAGCTTGAGCTGAGTTGCTGTCGGGTGAATGAAGATTGATTTGATTATAGGTGTTTAAGTGCTCAATTAACTCATTCATTGTCTTTCCATTAGGGGGCAGTTTGGTCTGAACTTTGTAGTTCATGGACAAAAATATTGCTTGTGGACTACACATGTTTCTCTCTGCAAGGAAAATGCAGAAGGTTCATGATAAGCCCATGGTATGTTTGTGTAGGTGTGTATTGTTTGCTGAGAGGAAGAAGGGAATTGTATCACATACTTTACCATAGAGTCAATGTAATGGCCTTTTGCCTCCAAAGAGATAATGTCCCCAGATGAAAGAAAATGAAAGAAATCAATGTGTTATGCCTGCAATCCCTGCATGCCGCACTTTAATTAAGCCAGGGTTTCAAAATGAAGCCCAAATTATTAAAATAATAGGTTGCTCTCAAGAGGGTCTCCATTATTATGATATATATTTATTACATTACATTATGAATGATTATGATGAAATCTTTAATTTCCTTAAAATCGTATTGCTATGCTGAGAGCCCATATTTAAGACGGGTGGGTTCATGTAGGTGGGCATTTCTTGGAGAGCTCAGGCTGAATTCACTCCATCATCTCATTTCTCATCCCCCGTCTCATCTGACAGACGTGGACTGACCCATATTCCTAGGTGGGATAGATGGAACAACGTCTCCTCTGTCTTTATCCTATCCTATACCTCTCCAAAGTGCTCTCTTGGGCGGTGTGCCTGCCCTGGTTTCCTCTATCCAGATAACCAAATACCCTTACAAGATTAAAGAGAAGATTGGGTTCTGGTAAAGATAAAAACTGAATTTGGATTCATTTTTTCACCCTAATTTCTGATTTCTATGTCAGTGTTGAAGAGTAAGGAGGAGGTTTGTTCCCTGTTTGCTTTTTGGATGCTCTCATCCATATTCAAAATATGTCTGGAATATGACTAGAAATTAATAAAAACTTTTCCATGTCAAAGGGGTGTGTAGTCCCATATACTTATTTCTATGTGGAGTGCTTTGAACTATTATAGACCTACCTGTTCAACTTCAAGCAGGCTCATGTGGGTTATCAGCAAGTATGTGTTAATTGATTGTCATTTTGATGATTCCAAAGCCTTACAGTGCAATTACATAAATGGCTTGGTCATTACCTATAATGTATGTTATCAAGCTTTCCCAATAACTGAGACAGTTTCTTTCAAAATGTAATCAAAGTGCTCAACTTTCTTTTAAACCCTACCACTGCCATAGAGTTCAAATATTAAGTTCACCAACTTTCTTTACTGTCCCTGTGGCATGTTAGAGATTTAAGGAGATACAGCACTTTATCTTGCGGATGTGTACTATCTGCACTTCGACCTTGAGATGCTAAGCCTGGCGCCATTCTAATGTTAATGTTGTTATTGATCACATTTTTTTCTGTCCAGATGCTAACTCAAATCCTCATGTTTGAATTCATAGTGCAAATCATCTGTTGAGAGCCATAAAGCTTTAAAGCGTATGGTTCACACAAGTCTCAATAGGCAAAAAGACACATGACTCTGAGTAACAATTTAAAGCTCTAGAAGCTGGAAATGAGCATTATGTAGACTTTACCCAATGGGCCATTCCATGGTAACTCGCGTTACACCTAATGGGTACATTGACACGATAATGTGCCTTTATCTTTAGAACTGCTAGGATCTACAAGATACTTTTTTCAAACATGGACAGGGTAGATATAGAACAACTGAATGAAACAAAAAAGAAAATTGAAGAACAAACATTTTTAGATTCTTGGATTATTGAATTTCGGTAACTCGCGTTACAAAAAAAGGACATGGTCAATTCTATGAGACCCTCTTTTGGCAAAGTCTCCTCATACTAGACAATCTTGACAAAATCTTTCCTACTTTAATTTGATAGTAGGTTGTGACTTACTAAGATCACAATATTAAAGATAAGAAACAATGGACTAGTAAAATGCAGGAAGCAAATATGTCGGTAACTCACGTTACGGTAACTCGCGTTACATTTTGTCCGTAGGCCATTTTCACCCCTATGTAATAGATTAAATATCACAGGACCCCTTAGAATATGGAAATATATTCATCTTTTTCCATTTAGCGAAATTTTCAGGAAAAAATATTACAAGGATCCTGTGTAATCGGCAATAAATTGTTTTTTTTTTCATCTACAGTCCCACATGTACGTTTTTGATGATGGTTTTAGATCTTAGGAAATCAACAAAAATGAAAAATAAATTGTATTGAATTTGAAAGGCCCTAATGTTTTATGAACATCCATGGCATAAGGTTAGTGATAAATCAAAGAATTAACATAAGAGGTACATTTCTTTTTTTGATGTCATGTCCTTCTTCTCATGGAATGGCCCCAATGGTTATTATATATGGAAGAAAAAAAAATTTAAGGCACCAATTTATGTAAATTTAGTAGCCCGTTGAATCAAAATTTTGTTTGTTTGTTTTTATGAAAGACTAATAAAGTAATACAAAAAAAAATCACTTCCAGTTCAATATTTTCAAGGCTAATTTTAAACCCACATCAAATTATACGAACATACCCTATCCCTATCCTATTCAGAAATGTATTCCTAGGGATTGAGTATAATCCCCTATGTGCTTCTGGGGATGGAGAATTGTTTTAGGATACTCAATCCATCCATCAATCTAGATGATCCTATTATCTCTCTTGTGGATTCCATTCATGGAGTCTGTTTCGTGTTCTGATCGACCTACAATTAATGCAGCTGCGTGCACCATCAAGAACTGTAATGATTTGGTATTCGCTAGTGATGCAATCCTCCCGTCGACCCATTCATCTGTTCATTCAGTATTCATCTATCCATCCCCCACTCCTCTCCATCATGCAGCTATCATTCTTTCTTCCTCTCTCTTTCCCTCAACTCAACACCAAAGTTGCAGGTTACACATAGGCCTACAGAAGTGAATGAAATAGCTGCATAGGTTTTCATACATGTAGGTGTTTCTTTTAATTCATTGACTCCTGAATTCTCTGATCTTCATAGGCTTAATACAGTGACTACTCAGTTCCAGTAGACAATGTACTTTCTAATATTTCATGACATAGAATGTTTGTAATACGATGTGTAACGTATATCTTGCATAGGTTTTGAAATGAATGAATGAATGAATGTGTACATGTACGCGGTGTTGTGTTTATTATTAGTTTATTTCATGAGCTATTGAAGATATGAATACCCTATGACAGGTATCCTTGCGAAGCGGAAAGGAGAGTGAGAGCTATTAAAGATAATGGCCTGTCGCCAACCCTTCTAATTGAATCAAGCATCCAATCTCTTAAATTACTCTCCTCTTAATTGATCTACAGACACCCTCTATATAAGGCCTGTCCTCATCAGCTTGAGTTTGCCAATTAACCAGCTATCTTAACTATCCTGATCGCAAATTAACCAGTTAATTTGCGTCTTCATCAGCCCGCAGTTGCAATAAGCGGGATATTCGGTCGAGAATCTTGGTCTTGTTCTCAAAATATCCTGCTATTTACGCCCGTCTGAGCTAGTTTGTGATGAGGGTATTGGTCTGGTGAAGACGCAATTTCGAGCTCTGGGATAATATCGAGTCAAATAGCGGGTTATTTGGCAAATTTGAGCTGATGGAAACAGGCCATATGATACTTATTTTGAGTGGAAGATTAGGCACCTCAAATACTACTACTAACTAAGGTGGATTGATCAGTGTTAAGTGGCCCGCGAGTGATCAATGTATGTCATTTCTCATACTTACTAATGACTGGATGTCCTGTAACATCTGTTGTTATGATTTCATTAGTATGGAAAATGATTTCCTCTTGCTTCGTTTGAAATGAGAATATTTAGCAAATTGCTAGGGAAAGATTTGGCCAAGTTGCCCTAGATCAATATTGAGTACCCTTTAGGAAGCATAATTCTGCTTGAGATTATGCCATAATCATTTTCAAATATAAAATAAGCAGAGAATTTTAAACTAATTACTATATTTGGCAAATTGTATTTTGAATGTATGGAAATTGTTCAAGTTGTGGAATGGAATGTTTGTAAACATAAATTTTCTGTATTTTTAGCATTTCTGAAGAGTAAAAGAATTTGTGATTAATTTCAGTACAAGATATGTAGGCATTGTTGTTGGATCTGCATTATTATTTCAAGTAATATGAGATGAAATGATCATGTGGTATTTTAAATATATGTGTGTTGAATATATATCCTTAAATAAGAATATCAATGAATCAAGACATCCAAGCTTGATATGGATAATGAATTTTTATTGCCAGCATTTGATTTTAAGCTTGTGATCAAAAGAGGGGAGATAATCCTATCGCTCTCAAAATGATTCTTTAATTCTTATTAAATTATTGAATGTTTTAGTACTTCGGAATGGGGGACCTTCACGGTTTCGGTGATTTAGTTTGTCTGCCCCATTCCTGGCAACTTGTAAATGCTCATGGGAATCACGATAATGTTTTTTTTTTAAATGATTTTCATCCTTTGAATTGTTTGATTTGTTCTTCTATGTAATCCTCTGTATACACTTTGTTTTGCTGAATAAATAATAATAATAATAATAATACTTCAATTATCCTCATCTCTTTGTACAGTTTGAAGAGAATTGCATTCTTTTAGTCCACACCATTAACAATCTACTTGTCATTGTCTTGACCTTGTCATTACAGCTTCATCAAGATGACCAGCAGTACATGGAAGCATTTGACCAGCTGTTAGAATGTTGGACATCCCTGCTACGCGATGCTGGGCACTTCCCTCCAGCCTACTTCTGCAGCCATGCCATCCAAATCTTTAACTGCTACCTCCAGAGCCACTTGGGGGCGCCAGACGGGACAAGAGATCAGGTAAGTTTGACTCGTTAAATTTTTGTTTTCTTAAATTATTTGATGAACTATGACATACATGTCTATGTTCAAGGCATATATCAGTTGATTTAAATGCCTTGTTGGAAGTTGTCTCCATATCAAAGATGTATTGGGGTAAATGTCTGGAAGGTACATATAATGTAGTTACCCTAGAGGGTAGTTGTCTGGGGCAATGGTCGGGAATGTTTCTGAGGTTTTCTGGGCTTTCTTATCGTAAGGAAAGGGGGGGTGGTTGTCACATGATAGGTTTTATGAGAAATGATTAACTTGAAATAGATGTCATGATTGAATTAATCATTTAGAATCGTCATATTACTGTTGTTCTTAAAAATCTCTTGTCGATATGAAGAATTAACGTGGAAATGCGAGTACAGATGAAATAATGAGTATATTCTGTTTTTTTACCAAGTTTGTCCGTTTCTTCTTCTTTTCCCCCTTGATTTGAAGAAACAGAATGGAGATGCAAGTGAAGATGATGAGGAGGAAGAAGTCAACGAAGTAGAAGAAGACGATAGAGATTTATTTGCTGATCAGCTAATTAGTGTAGCAGCCATGGGCAGAGCAACACCACAACATAGTATACCTATATTAACAAAGTGAGTACACATAGCTATACTGAACATACCTGTAGAATTCATAGGTACAATGAAACCTTTCTATGAAGACCACCCAAGGGAGACAAGAAAAGTAGTCTTTGTAGGCAGGTGGTCTTTATGTGCAGGTGCCTATAGTACATGTTTCAATGAGAAACCATTTTCAAGGGAAACAAAAGATGTGGTCTTTGTAGACAGGTGGTCACTAAAGCAGGTTTGAATGTACAAGTATGAGGTTTATTGATACTGGTGTTTACCTGGAAATTGTTTTGTATCAAATTCAATTAGTTTATTGAGGTATGTTCCAAAAATGTTGATAATCATCAAATATATAAGAAAGTACAATAAAAGAATCTAGTACGAATGAACAACTGAAGCATAAATCAATGAACGGACTGACATTAAGTACATTATTTAAAGATTTAGTATTTATTTATTTATTTGAACATATTTCATCAGGATAACAAGATAAGAAAGGACTGGTTTACATCCTGGTCCTGAATATTAAATGCTTACACTAAAACATCAAAAGAAAGAAACATATAATAAGAATTGTTAAAATACTCACTAAGATTCTTTGGAACATGGAGGAGCGAGTACACTTCTAAATCAAATTACTCATCAGGTTAGCTCTTGGTCACTTGTATTTTCTGTTATAAAATTGTTAAAAACTTTCTAATCATATTCACCTGTGCTGTGCTTTTTTGTGTGTTTCAATTTTTCTGTCAGGTTTCTAGAAGATAGAGCACTTAGATTACATAATCATCTAAATAGACATCAGCATCAGCAGCATCATAACGTAGATCTAGATATCAAGGGACTTCATCAAATCTTTGAAGATGTACATTGGCTTACACTAATAACAGGTAAGACTACATGTCAAAACAGTGAATATATCTCACTGTCATTTTATTAGTGAGGCTGCCTCATGGTGTTACTGAAATATTTCAGGTGAGAAGTTTGATGGTATTTTGTGTATTATCACATCCACTTCATGACAGTATACGCATCTTTTTTCATTTGTCTATTTTCTGTCCAACGTTTTTTTTATATAGTTTATTTTTGCATACATTGTATTTTTAATAGATGTGAAATAAATAAATTTGAATTTAAATTCACCTGCACTGCAGCTACATGCTTACTTAATTTTGTACAATGGAAATTGGTTATACCTCTCCAATCTTTATAAAATGATATTGGTCTGAAAAATCTGAGATTATGCAACAAAATAGATATATAATCTACAAGCTCTGTGACACATGGGCTGCAACTTTTGCTCCATTCTGAATTCTTAACATTAACCATGGTCCAAAAGCTACATATTCTGAATTTAACTGTAACCCTAAAATTAAAATCAAAGCTAATTGCATTCCCACCCTCACCCTTACACCCTCGCCATAACCCTGTATAAACTTTGAACTCTCTAAAATAAATAAAAATCTGGGAGAAAATATTTCTGGTGCAATTTCGGGTCATCATCTTACACCCCTCCCCCTCCACTATCCCCCAATGTAGCACCATTATGACTTACTGTGCATCACAATTTTTTTGTTACATCTTACATTAGGTATCACAGAAGAGCTGCGTTGAGTGGGGACACACAGAGCTCAACCACGCAAATTCTCTCTTTGTGAAGGAAGATTTTCATATCATGGAAAAAATAAATATTATAAAATTATATGTCTCTCGAAAGCTCAGGATTCTGTCTTTCATGTCATGTCATTTTCATCAAAATCCATTAATTACTTACGACACAGTTACTTGAGATTTACCCTCTAATTCGTACGGTCTCACTTCGTTTGTCGCCATTTTTTTTTGACGGCCGATTTGTATCCCTAGTTTTAGCTCAATTCGCTTGAACGCCATTCGTCTTTGAGTTTTAAAAATCCACTGGTTGGAAAAAGCACATCTTAAGCTTTATTTTCATATAAAAACTGATGGGGGTATGTTTAAAAAAGATCGTGAAAAATCAGAGTGAAAAGTTTGAAACAATTTTTCTATATCAGAAAAACATACTTTTAATTCAATTTTGATACGAGAAGAAAGAGAATTTACTGGAGAATACGATCATGTAAATATTAAGAATGACCGCTAGATGGCGCTAGAGCCCGAATCCGATTAGTACAGCTGTACTCTGTGTATAATACGCACTGAGCGAGAGTGACTACAGCGAGCAAGCCCCCAGCTTCGCACGTGGACCCGACGGGCCACGTGCCGCCACGTGTCGCATCACCGCACCCGCCGCTTGCCGTCCCATCAAGATCCGAAACGGAGCATGAATCTGAGGCTTCAAATATCGAAACTGAGGCAGGATTTGCAGCATTTGGCGAACAAATTAGTAAATACATATATATTTTGACGGAATTATTATGCTATCGTAACCTAAACAGATTTTAAAGCGATCACAAGACCGATAATACATGTTTGTGTTTTTCCACTCGCAATTTTTCTCACACGTCATGCGAGTGAACTTTGAATTTCAAAGTGACTTTTTAAGAAATTCGAGAACAAACTTGTGTAATCTTTGTCAATTTATAGAGTGAAAATTTAATCAAATTTTGTCAGAAAAAAAATAGTTTGTGTGTTTCAATCTACATCAAATAACTGTACTGACGGCTTTTCTGATCTTTGGATAATAATTATTAAATTCCAATTAAATTCAGGCAGTGTCTTTTCAGTAATCATATCTGATTGATGCACGTCTGTATGAAAACCCAACGACACACACACACACACACGGTGATAGCTCGGCGGCCGTGCACCGCCCATACTGGTGTCTCTATTCTCATGTTGTGATTGCGAACCCACGCCAAGGATTTAAAGGGCATTTATTGTTTTCCCAGAGTTTTTAAATTTAAGATCGTGGAGTCAATTTATGAATTTCAATTAAAAGGGATTTGTTATTATTTTTGTTTATATAGTAAATAAGTTAGGTAGTCCTAGGGGGGAGGGAAGGTGGTGGGGGGGGGGGGGAGACATTTTTTTTTTTTTTTGGTCTAAAAAAAAATCGTAACGACTCAGCCAACCACTGAATAAGCGGGGGGGGGGGGGGGGGGGGGGGATAAGAGGGCACTTTTTTTGGGGGGGGGGGTCAAGAAATTTTTTAATTTTCTCCGTTGGGGGAACGGGGCACGTCCCTGTTCTTCAGTATATTTTGCGGGAATTTAGGGCTGATTTTAACATATATTTTGGCCGGGGGGGGGGGGGGGGGGGCTACGTGCCCCTGTGCCCCCCCCCCTGGATCCGCCACTGCCATACTTTCTATTGATGTGCCAAAATTCATTCCCCTACCATTAACGGTTTTCAATTTAGGCAGACTTGAAAACACAAAAAAAAGCTTAAGGGTGCTTTAAAATATGAAGTTTTAAGAGTTTAGAGCCTTTTTCAAATGCCATTTGAAATTAATTTAAATGGATTTAATGGTCCAAACTTACAGAAATGATTAAGCTATATACATACCCCAGATATGCCGAAATTCAGCCCCACTTCATAGACACTCTTAAATCTAGCCATGTTTCAAAACCCATGAAAACTTGTTCCGGCGACGCAAAAATAGCCATTTGTCACACGCATCAAAATGGGCTTCATTTAATTATTTGAAAAATTCCACAAAAAAAAATATTTGTGTAAAGAACCTGGAAAAAAATAGACATGTAGAAATCCATACAGAGAACAGATTTCTTGAAAAGAAAGGTGATTCATCAATTAATTACAAAATTATGTCACCTTGAAAATGGCTAATTGTCAGTTATAGCCTAATTACGCAAAATTTGACCATTTCGTCTCTTATGTAAGTGGCCGTATTTTCAAAAGTACTTATTCAAATTTGACAAATGAGGTATCAAAACTCCTCTTTCCATGTGCTCTAAAATGAAATTGGCAGGGGAAATGAAATGTAGATACTTTCAAACTTTAGCTGTGATACCTACTTACATATAAAATGAACCTCGATATTGAGAATACACCATTTAATGTACATAATTGTACTTATTCCTTGTTCACTTCTGAAGGTCATCTTCTAGCCGATGATTTCCGTGGTGAGACACCGGTCATTCCAGAGCAGCTTATACGATACTCACAGCTAGAATCTCAACACGTCGATACAGACATCACTCTGAAGGTTCTAGGTTCAATACATGACAACCCCTCTTCAATACCGGGTCATGAAAAAGCTGATAAAGTCATTAGGTGAGTAACAATCAAAGGAAGTTATTGTAATTACGAAATTGCAAATACCCATTTTACTTGTGACAAGTTTCAAACATTTTAACCTTATCTGCAATACAAATACGTAGTATCAACATTTTATCCTCATTTTTTCAAAATTTCAATGGGGCACACCAGAACTTGTTGGGGTGTCTTCCCCCCCCCCCCCCTCCTCCCAGCCACTGCCCCCAAATACTCTGTGATGAGACTAATTCATTGAGTTAACCCAAGGTAAATAATAATTTGAATGCACCTTCAGCATACCCTGAGATGGATATGTGCACAATATAAATATAAATATAGCTATTATTACTACTATTCATGATTGTTATTGTTGATGTTTTGGTTTTTATATACCACCAATTTACTAGCATGTACATACCAACACAATCCTTTTCTATGTGAAAATAGTTATAATTATCATTCAATTTGTCATTGTTCATCTTAACACAAACAGTGGTCCATGAACATTAAGCCTATTCTCAATTTCTATATTGAACACAAAATATTAGTAAGAAAACTATTACAATTCAGTCCATCGAAATTGCCCATGTGACTGTAAGGAGATTTAGAACTGCCATGTCTGGGCTTATATACTCTTATGCTTCTGTCTTATAACTTCAGGTTAGCAGCAGCTGTCTTCCGTATCTCTGAGATCGAGAGGCGGGCCGTCCAGGCCCAACTCGGCGATCTTTGGAGCCCTCAAGTAGGTAGTACTGTGGTCTGGTTTCTACGACGATGGCTATCATCATATCTCATGCTCAACGAATCCTACTATCAAGAGGTACAGTCTCCTCTTTCTTTCTTTCATTCATTTATTCATTTATTCATCCATTCATTCAATTCATTCATTCATTCATCCATCCATTCATTCATCCATTCGTTCATTCATTCATTCCTCCATTTATTCATTCATTCATCCATCCATCCATTCATTCATCCATTCATTCATCCATTCATCCATTCATTCATTCATCCATTCATCCATCCATTCATTCATCCATCCATTCATTCATTCATTCATTCATTCATCCATTCATTCACTCATTCTTTCAATTGATATTGAATTTCAATTCGATTGAATTTACTCCAGTTTAGTTACTAATTAATACCAAAACGAGAAACTTTGTTCAAATTTGCATTTGAATACAGGTTACGTTCTTATTGTTCAAGCACTAAACATGTCTTATAATTCTTTTTATTTGATCTTTCAGCTAAGCGTACCCTTAGCAGTGTGTTTTGGTAAGGGTACGGAGGGGAGTAACTGGCTGACTAGTTTCCTCCTTGATAAGTGCCTGTCAAATCTATCGGTGTGGAGTGGAGAACATGAGCTTGCCAACGACACGGTCGACCTTCTAGTAGCACTGGTGGAGAAAAAAGAGAGGTAAGGATATGTGGTCACAAGATCTTTTCTTTTTAAGATTTTTAGCATGTCAAGCAAAATTTGCTTATATCGTGTCTTTATTATTTTATTTTTTGAATCACCTTCATAAACAGATTTTGTTGTTATTGCGCATATAACATTTCACAAGATAATCAAATGTGACAATTTAACGTTGCCATTTTATAGCATGGTATGAATAAAGATCCCTGCTTTCAGGTTTCATTTATTCCATTTCAGTATGGATTTAGAGCTTTCCTGTTTATAACGATATTAACATGATTGCTAAGACTTTGAAGACATATATATATATCGCCTTTGAAAACTATGACTTTTCAATAGCTGAGCACCTCGCCTGTTGAAATTCTTACAATGTGATCCAATCAATTACATTCTTTACACAAGATAAAAAAAGTTTGTTATTTCATATTGCCCTAGTCGAGCTATCTCCTGAAAATCTTTGCAGTCACATTTAATCTTAAACCGGATGATTCAAATATGTTTAGTAATGATCTAACCATGTGTCTTTATCTCTAGATGTATACCAGCGCTGCAATGTGAGAGCTTCTGGACCTTAGCCAAGCAGCATGCAAGCAGTTCTCCGCCCTTAGACCTGCTTCCTCTGGACATCAAGTCAAACCTGATGAAGGCCTTGGTCCTGGCCGGATCCCTAGCCAATAACTCTGAGATCAAAGACAGATTCATGCAAGAGGTACATGTACTACAAGATCCATAGCCCCTTTTGAAATCAATATTGTTTCTTTATTTATGAATGCCTCAATAGCAATAAATAGAAGAAGCAAGAGTTCTCAAACTTTAACCTGATGAAGGGCTTGGTCCTGGCTGGATCCTAGGCAAATATCGGTTAAGAGGTTAGGTTTATGCAGAAGGTACTAACAGATCCAGAACCCTTTTTGAAGTCATATTTGTTTACTTGAGACAGGCAGAAAACTAAATGATGTTAACTTCATCAAGTGAACAATGCATATAAAACAGAAAAATGTGTACTGCATTTGATTTAAAAATGCGAGAGAAAAGAGAAATCAATGAATAGAGTATTATGAAAGAGTGATATTATGAATGAATAATGGTAATATGCTCTGCTGTGCAATCAAATCTGTTTCTATATCCTCCCCCTGTCTCTCTCTCTCTCTTTCTCTCCTCATTCATTTTTTCCATATTTCTCTCAAGAAAGATAAATTTCTTTATGTGCCCTCAGACTTGTTTATGTTGGTTTTACAAATAGTTTCCAAGGATTTATCCATCGACTATCCGCTTCTCCTTTCCCGCAGGTTCTTCTTCCAGTTCAGAACCGCTTCAAGGGTTTGATCCAGCAGGAGGACTTTGTCAGGAAGTCCCAGGACGACTCCCTCAGGGCCACCCTCTGCATGCTCCTCAGTCACATCCGGGGCATCGTCATGGGAACCCGTTTCAACTCTGCCGATGAGCTCTTCCTCTTCACCTTGCCCCTTGCCATGGAGTCGGTCTCGCTCGTCAGGACCTACCATAATTGTCCCGAGGTCGTAGAGATGGTGTTGGAGATGTTCCTGGAGATGGGCAGGAGACAGCTGACGTACCTCAATAAGGTGATTTGATGATGGTGTTGATGATGGTGATGCTGGTGTGGATGATTATGATGATTGTGATGACAATGTTGATGGTGGTGATGATGGTGATGATGATGATGATGATGGTAGTGATGATGATGATGATGACAATGTTGATGGTGTTGATGATGGTGATGATGATGGTGATGATGATGCTGGTGTGGATGATGATGATGATGATTGTGATGACAATGTTGATGGTGTTGATGATGTTGGTAATGATTTTTTAGACAAATAATTGGCAATTTGTGTTGAATAAAAACATTTTTTTTTAATTAATTAATGACCTCTTTTAAGATCAACTGTTATACCTGAGATAGGAGATCAATGATGAATTGATGTGACTGATGGCTGTTGTCTAAAACTTTAACTTATCTCAATATTCAACTCTCCTCCCAGGCGAACTCCTTCAAGCTTTACGAGATCTCACTATCCCTCCTGGAGACCTACAAGCAGTGCAATCTTGGCAAACTGAGGCAGGATGTCTTGGCCGAAGAGGAACAGTACCATGATATATCCATCATGATTGAAATGCTCACAGAGATCATCTCAAAGGACATGACTGATTTTCTCCACGATAGTAAGGATAAACCCCCAACTTTTAGCAAATCTCAAAGATGTTAATGCGTGGGTATATAGTCGTTTGTGAAGATGGCAACTTGGCGATCACTACATAACACTGAGCCAACGGGTATTACACTTCTGTGCGTATGTCTGTATGCTGCCCTCTATATACCCATGAATGAGCAACTTTAAAGTGTACCAATCACCATAAATATTTTGATTTGTGCTATAGGGTCTCAATATGGCTCTACTATATTAAAAATATGAGCTTCAAATGTTACCTCTACAAAGAGTTACCCAATGTTTAAATACACTCACGATGAATATAAAAGTATGTGTGTGTAGGGTCTTTACAGATGTGTATCAATCAGATATGATTATTTACGTCTGGGGACCCACCTTTAACGTCACCATCCGAAAGACGCGACTCGGTTTTGAACCGGGGTCGTCTGAGTCAGTTTGTAGGCAAAGTCAGAGAGCTGAACAAGTGAACGTGCTGCTAGACTAACTCGCATCTTCCTCACACCTTGGGCAGTCTTTATATACAAATTTCACTGTATTTTGCTTTCCTATTTGTCTGTACAGGTGAGCCTAGTCCAGCTAACAATGTCTCTGCTCCTGATGTGGTCTTGTATGGCTTCAACCTTCTTCTACCTCTTATCAATCAAGAACTTCTCAGGGTAAGAACTAGTGTTCTTGATTTTTTAAAGTTTTTCCTGTAACCTGTTAAAGCCTATCTGCACTAGTTTGGCCAGGAGGGATTAGACCTCCCTGCAAGGTCACTGACAGGTCGTTATATCATCAAATCAGCTCTCAATTGACATAAGAAAAAGGGGATCATGGGGGACCAATGGTCACCACTTAGGCATTGTTTGCGATATAGAGGACACATGTAGCTATAAGTAGTGCAATAGGGCTTTAAAGAACATTTTAGCTGCAGTAATATTATTTGCTTTTCCTTCTTCTGATGATGAATTAATTATACTGCCAAATCAAATGTGCTTTACCTAGCTAGTATATTTTTCACTGTAATAGTCTTTTTTTCTCATTATTTTTAACAATTTGAAAATGTGATGATGATGCTTTTGATGGAAATATATGATTCACACTTTCATTTTCATTTTCATTTAATTTCATTTATTATGGCCATAGAGGATAATTGTTCATATTTACATTTGCAATTTACGAGTGTGCTAATGTGAAATGTACTTCTAAAATTAAGACATTATATCTTGCAAGTGGTCCATGTGTTTCAAGAAGACATCAGCACCACCCAATAATATTTTATTTTAACGATATATTTTTTTGTTTTTTCTAGTTCCCAACCCTATGTCAGCAGTACTTCCGTCTCATCACGTCCATCGGTGAGCTGTACCCCGAGCGTCTCGTCCGCATCCCGGCAGCGCTTTTCCAGAACCTGATGGCGTCCATAGAGGCGGGACTGACCGAGTTTGGTGGCGAGGTGTCTAGCATGACCCTGGACGCCCTCACATCCATGGCCGAACACTGTGCAAAGAATCGCCAAGAGGTGGCGGGCTCTCAGCTCGATCATGCCATGGAGCACTTTCTAAGGGTAGGAAAGTTGAAGGGATTCATTTGCGAGCCATGTGAATTTTTTGCTTACACATTTTCATAACTCTTGGTATTTCATTGGTGATTGTATAACATCAATCTATAAAGAAGTCTAAAGTATAATGTTTGTGTATTTCAATCCATTTCAAGTTGTTGATTGATTAATATATTACAATTGTAAATATTGTTTTGGATGCATGCTTCATGCACAAATATTGATGTGCAATTCTTGCACAATTCTTGTACATAAGTTGCATAGTAGCTTAGGCGAATTCAACCCCAAGCAACAAAAAAAGAAGAGCTCCCATAAGAATGTTTATGGGCGTAAATTCACATTTTTTATCACTAAATTTGATTGAAATTTGGTTTGACTCGATGAAGTAGTCCTCTAAAAATAAGTTTTCATTATCAGCATTGAAAGAGTCCAGAAATGGCTATGTGGTCATGTATTTGATGCAGTATTGTTTAATAGGTGGTACAACATTTGTAAGAAGAAATTAGTCGATAATTTACATATACATGTATATCAGCCATGCAGAAATTACAATTGTAGATTTGTGTAAAACCATAAACATGAACTCTGATTATTTTCTTACATTTGTATAGGTACTATTTGATAGCATCGTTAAGCAGAGCTTTGATTTGGATATCATACCAGCAGCAGGAGCGGCTTTCTACACTCTCATATGCAGTCATCATGTAAGTCTTTCTCTTTTGTATTTGATTCTTTATTATCCATTTCCTGTATAGTCCAGACTCCAGGGGAGTGTTTCACAAAGACTAAGATCGACTTTAAGTTGGACTTAACTATGGCAGGCCATTTATGCCACTGTTTGCTCTTACCGTTTACTGGCATTGGTCTCTCAAGGCACGTACAAATTATGGTCACAAATCTACAGAATTTACATTTTGTTGAAGGAAAAAATATTATCTAAATATCATAATGGAGAGACTAATAGGGAGAGCAACCAGCGGCATGATTGGCCTGCCATAGTTAAGTCTAACCTAAAGTGGATCTTAAACTTTGTGAAACACTCCCCAGATGTTTAAACAGTAAAGAAAAAACAAAATTAGATGTCTTGATGGGTTTTTGGCTGTAAGATCTCCTGAACAATCATATTTTGTCTTCACCATATCCAGGAGAAGTACACTGAGCTAGTCAACGGCATCCTCCGTCGCCAACCCAACCCTTCCAACTACCAGAGACTAGCAACGGCATTCCGTCAGCTCACGCCCAACGATGCGATCTTCTGTCTGGACCGGGCCCATCGCATCAAGTTCCAGGCCCAGCTTGAGAGCTTCCTAGGCAATGTCAGATCATTGCTCATCGTCAAGTGATGATTGTGCCTTGAGAGAAGTTGAGGTACCCTCACTATAACATACCAGAAGTGACTCTAGAGGAATATTCCTCCTTGTCAAGTCATGACTTGTCGTTCAAAGACTGTTTTGTCAAGTAATGACTTGTCGTTCAAAGACTATTTTGTCAAGTAGTGACTTGCCATTCAAAGACTGTTTTGTGAAGTAGTGACTTGTCGTTCAAAGACTGTTTTGTCAAGTAATGACTTGGCGTTCAAAGACTGTTTTGTCAAGTAATGACTTGGCGTTCAAAGACTCTTTTGTCAAGTAATGACTTGACATTCAAAAACTGTTCTGTCAAGTAATGACTTGTCATTCAAAGACTATTTTGTCAAGTAGTGACTTGCCGTTCAAAGACTGTTTTGTGAAGTAGTGACTTGTCGTTCAAAGACTGTTCTGTCAAGTAATTACTTTGAGTTCAAAGACTGTTTTGTCAAGTAATGACTTGCCGTTCAAAAACTCTTTTGTCAAGTAATGACTTGGCATTCAAAAACTGTTTTGACAAGTAATGACTTGGCGTTCAAAGACTGTTCTGTCAAGTAATGACTTGTCATTCAAAGACTGTTTTGTCAAGTAATGACTTGGCGTTCAAAAACTCTTTTGTCAAGTAATGACCTGACATTCAAAAACTGTTTTGTCAAGTAATGACTTAGCATTCAAAAACTGTTTTGTCAAGTAATGACTTGTCGTTCAAAGACTGTTTTGTCAGTAATGACTTGGCATTCAAAGACTGTTTTGTCAAGTAATGACTTGGCATTCAAAGACTGTTTTGTCAAGTAATGACTTGTCATTCAAAGACTGTTTTGTCAAGTAATGACTTGGCGTTCAAAAACTCTTTTGTCAAGTAATGACCTGACATTCAAAAACTGTTTTGTCAAGTAATGACTTGGCATTCAGAAACTGTTTTGTCAAGTAATGACTTGTCGTTCAAAGACTGTTTTGTCAAGTAATGACTTGGCATTCAAAGACTGTTTTGTCAACGTTCAAAGACTGATTTGTCAAGTAGTGACTTGTTGTTCAAAGAATGTCTTTATGACTATGTTAGACTTGCCCTTTACATGACGTGTCTGAACCACTGTGAGAACTTTTGTGTCAAGGTCAGACTCTTCCTCACCCTCAAGTGATGACCCTGTCTTAAGACATCTTATGCCAGGAAACATCAAAAGTTAACTCACCATAAAGCTCCAGAACTGGTTATAGATTAAAGTTCCTCTTTTTTTTTCTTCAGAGATCGTCTGAAGTACTCTCAACTTCCCCTGTTACTGTAAGCCCTGTGATTTGTACATGTATGGACATACCCTATGCTGATAGTAGGAATTTGTTCAGAAGGATAGTTTAATCTGAGTTGGAACAGTCTTTCAATGTCACTTCACGTTAAAGCCTTATAGCTGTATGAACACCCCTTATTGTGATAATAAGCTGGATCTATCACTATGTAGGCAGTGTTCATACATGAACAATTTGACTTGCTGAAGAAAATAAGGTTGTTATAACCTTTATGAGAGCAAAGAGATAAAAAAAAACAGTGATAAGACTTGAGAAGAAAACTCTTGCTCAAACTGTGTGTGAATAAAAAAACAATGTATTTTTGTACAATGTATGAATAGTTTGTTATATATGAATACTTCTTCATTGGGTATTTATTAGGATCATTTTAAGTGATTTAAAGAGACAATCCTCATTCTATATTTACTTTTGTTCATTCTTGTTTTGCCTTCTAGTTTATTCACCCGTCAGATGCACAATGAATGTGTAATAGAAATTATTGAAGGAAAAATCTTGAGATAAGCAAAATAGTTTACTCATTTGCATTTGTGGTTTATTGTACAGGTAGATTACAGTTTCAAGTAGAATTCAGAATGAGGAACGGAAAATGTATATCAAATGTGAAGAATGTACAGATCATGAGAGGTGTACTTTCTTTATTTAAATTCTTAATGCACATCATCATTCCATGAAAAGAAATGATCCTGACGACATGTAGAAAGAAATGTCTGTATGAAAAATGCTTGTGAGCTCCGATTGTTTTAGAGCTATTTTCTATGTATATCAAGATACATGTATATTTTTTCCATTTTCCTGTTCAAAAGACTGTGTTTATGATACATATCTACTTGCCAGTGTAACAACCTACAGTTTGATACAGTAGAAAATGGGAAAGAAAAATGTCTTCCCCTTCTCCCTACCAATGTGTGAGAATCATTCCTATATATATATAGGTACATATGCATGTTAGAGATTCCTCCATAACAAAGAATTAAAGCTTCCGTGAAAGGATATAGTACAATCAGCATTGCCTGATCGAGGTATTGTCTTTATGAATGGATAGAAGAGTACACTTTCTGTCTTTTATTTTAGGTTTGGGGGGGGGGGGGGGTTAAAGGTAAAGACCAGTATTGGAAATGCCCCAATTTCAAAAAAGGAAATGGAAGCTCTCATTACCAATCATGTGAAAGAATATGTTTTGACTAATACATGATGATAACAAATTTGCCGGGAAACCGCCTACTAATTCATATATTTGGTAAATTTGTTTCTCTCTTGGTCTGTGAGAGATATAGGGTAGTCCCATATACATCTTTCTGTGTATAGTGCTTGTAACTTTATGAAGAATGGGCCAAATTTCTTATCATTTTGATGATTCCAGAACCTTGCAGATGGTAGATGCTAGATGATCAACCTTTTCTGATCGATTCCACAACGTTTCTTTCACAATGCAATCCCATGACCATAACTGGTCTTTACCTTTAAGGATCAAGGTATTGTCTTTATGTATAAATACAAAAGTACACTTTCTGTCTTTTATTTTAGGTTGGGGGGGATTAAGGATCAAGGTATTGTCTTTATGAATGAATACAAAAGTACACTTCCTGTCTTTTATTTTAGGTTGGGGAGGGGGGGGGGGGGATTAAGGATTTACATGTATGTTTTGTAATACAAAGATGTATACGTCTTGTGACAATTCAGTGCCACTATCTATTGAATGACAATCACTGACATCAATAAATGATTATTAAAAATCAACAGTCAATAATCATGCTTGTCTAAAACACCACTAAATATTAGGTCACAACTATTTTGAGTATTTGTTGTTATATTTTCTCTTCAAAACACATACTGTATCCTGAATGTCCTATACGTTCAACTAATACTCTGTTCTGCTAGATATAAGGGCATCTTTGCATGGTATTTAAAAGCACAAATACAAATTCGCAGAAGGTTTTGAAATATTGTATCCGTATCCTTGTGTGAACAAACGTATGTACATTGGGAAGTTACACAATTTCATAAGCCCGGTCAACAAATATTATTGGGTTATGATTGTATGCAATATTTGCAAAGAAATAGGAACAGATTGTTGAGGGATAGTCAAGCGTACATGCATACTTCCTGCAGTAAACCGATTGAAGTCCATAAATATGCAAATTATGATGCAACACACTGCCGCTAGTTCCATGATAAGAATGTATAAAGGAGACCAAACAATTTACCAGTAATAGAATTATGTCATTACTTATTAGTGCATGTTAGATATTATACAAATTTGAATATTTGTACTTCTTTTTCCTTATTGAAATAATGCTTTATAGTGCACAATTTTAAAGAATAAACTACATTTAAAAAGAAAAATTTCTCATCGTGAAAATTATGATTGTGTGATACTACTACTGCTACATGTAGCTTTCCCATGCATTGAAAATGTATTCTAAATGTTAAGCCTTCCTGAAATTATTCAAAGAAGGAAGAAAAGTATCAAACCAATTGTGTTCCTAATCTTTAAGAAAAAAGTTGGTGGTGTGCATCTTTCTATATGATTTTGTCAGTTGTGAATTTGATACTGTAATGAAATGTTAAACTGTACAATATGATACAGGACACTGTAAAGCAATAATGTCATAACTTCACAGTTTATATACATGTATTGTTGTTCGCACAATGTACACTTTCAATAAACAATGAAACAGTACATCATAGTTTCTTTAATACACAATATGAAAATGAATTATTATTTTTTAACTTAAATTGTCAGATTTATTTCTCTTATGTCATTTCTACAAAAATACACAGGACTCCATATGGGTAAACCCAGTATATCTACATGTATATTATTATAATATGTTTCTCTTCATCTTTTATCTTTATCATTACTTACATAATTTTTCTTGTACTTGCTTGTGAGAAAGAAGCATTAGTGGTACTTTTTCATTTGTTTTGAAAATTATGCCTGGTGTATGTAAATGATTGCTAATATGAGATGTTCTTTATTTTTCACATTTGTCTATATCAAATACTAAATTTGTGTTCATTTTGTCACATGTTTTGTGAACATACCATTTATTTGTCTTCTCTCCAAGGATGCCTTCTTCTTTATTTATTTTAAAATGTAAATAAACTGAAAGCAATACTCTGCTTTCGTAAAAATGAGACTTGTGTTATAGCATTTCAATCTTGTGCTGTCAGTGTTTAGCATACAAATGCATAGAGAAATTTGTATTTATAATACATGCTCCAACAACTATTGTTCCATGTTCAATAACATATACTAACCAATTCTTGACTTTCACTTTAGATCAAACACCATAATTCATCCTACCATTAATAAATAATTGATATTACAACCACTCAGAAATTTATTTTTACTCTTTTATTTTCCCTTGCATCTTTTTGGATGCAAGTGCAGGGTACATGTATATATCACACCTTCAATTCTCTTATACAAGGTCTCTGTTTAATAACTTGGTAATGAAAAGGGATTGCTCATGAGTCCTTGAACATCAAGGCAATTCAGCAGAGACCTGTGGAAACGCCATGCGTACTATCTCCTGCCTGTTAACCATGCCTCTGAACAGTCTAACAGTATTGATGACCAATCGGATTCTCACATACCCATCAACTGACTAGAATACTTCCAAAGATCAGTTATTATCAGTCCAAAGTAACAATATCAGTCTATACCATTTGCCAGTATATGCCCATTCTCCCATAAATATTTCTGCCAGACTGGTAAATATTCATGATTTGACGGGAATACTGCAGCCATATATCAGTAATCGCTAGTCAAAGAAATGACATTAGTCTGTATTACTATGTACCCTCTCTCTCTTTCTTTCATATTTCTGTCAGACTGGTGAATATTCATCATTTGACTAGAATACTGCAACCCTAGATCAGTAAGTCCAAAGAAATGCCATCAGTCTGTATTGCCATTTGTCTTCTCCTTTAAAGTTTCTGCCAGACTGGTAATATCCATCACTTTGCTAGAATACTGTCGTAAATCAGTAATGATTAGTCGTCCAAAGAAATTGCATCAGTCTGTATCACTATTTGTCCTCTCATCCTTTAAGATTTCTTCTTTGAACCTTGCGATAATGACCTCTTCTGGTTCTGTCTCGTTCCTTCTGATTGCAGGTGCTACAGATTGGAACTTCGTCTTCAATTCCTCTACCTGAAAAATGAGAGAGAAAAGAAACCTGTAAAGGGTATCAATTACTAAAACACTATTTGTGTAAACAGCTAACATGTACACTACCAGCCTCACAAAATTTACCTGGCATTCTACATATATTATTTACAGTTAAGGAGTAAGAAGAAAGTAATCAAGACAAGTATAGCATAATATCCCAAGCACAGAACCCAAGTCTGGCTTTGGTTTCTTCTAAGTCCTATAATATGGGATTGAATACAGGTGCATTAACTTATCTAACGTACTCACAAGTCCCTTTTCTGTTTAGTAAAAACGTATTTACACTTGTGATATTTCTTTATAGAAGTAACATTTGAAGTTCATGTTTTGAATAAAGTATAGTGAAATCATGGTACAGTGTAACTTTAATATACAGAGCATTTGTTTCCCGATTGGTATCTATAAAGTAGTAAATACTTCAAGCTAATGATTTCTTCTCTAATCACTGTCAATATCAAACATTGAAAACATATATAGTTTTATACACACTCAGTTATCCTACTTGATATTACCTGAATTCACATAGTATAAGAGGCTTTGATACAAAATATCAAATACTTAAAGACCGTCACCACTACTGGGCCAGAAGGGATAAGACCACACAGAGAGCCATCGAGGTCACTGTGACAGGTGGCTATCTCATTAACTCAGCTCTCATTTAACAAAAGAAAAAGAGGATCATGGGGGACCAACAGGCACCGATTGGGGAAGTTTTCTATATAGAGGGAGCAAGTAGCTGCAAGTATGGCAGTGTGCCTTTAAGAAGAAGGGGGCAGATATTGAAAAGGTCACTGCAGGTAGGAAAGGGTAGTAAGAAACTAAGAATTACAAAGAAAGAAGGGAAAAGGTAGAAGAGAAGGGAGGAAGAAAGAGGGAAAGAAAGGAAAGAAATAAAAACAAAATGAAAAACAAATAAAAAGAAAGAGGGAACATATAGAAGGAAGAAGGCAAGGATAAACGATTTATTTTTTCATGTCCAACCTAAAAAGCATTATTTAAAACTTTGACTTTTTCACTCTGGTTTGACACTTACATTCTTGACCCCCAGGGCTTTGCAGAATAGAAAGGTGAATGACCCCACCCCAACTATTGACCAGACTGTGCCCCACCCTAGGGCTCTCATGCCCAATGATGCACCGCTCTCATGCAGCTCAACAGATGGATCTGGTACTATTCCCTGTTAATAAAAAGGTTATCAAAAAACAGAAAATTAGAAATGGTAACACAGTATAAAATCACTAGTGTTGAAATACGTATTTCATTGAATCATCAATGCATGTACTGCTAGTTCTAATGTACGTGAATACAGTTTACATTTGCATGATTTGAAATTTACAACATCCACAAAAATTCAAAAATCAGTATGTACAATTATGCAGTAGTTTTCAGTTTTCCTTCAAATAAGCAAGTTTCATTTAAAGGTATTACAGAGTTTTGGAAAATTGGCTGGATGGTGATTCTTTACAATTGTGATATATTTGGATGCCCCTATGGATGTATTATAAGCACCAAAAGGTATGTTTTCCTTTAGGAAAATGATTAATACAATAAGATACCAACCTTCGAGAATGAACTGGGGTGTCTCCTTTTGGTCTTGGCTAAAGTCATACCAAAACCTCCAAGCATAGCCATTCCACTGACTGCAACCATAAAAGCAATTTCTGAAAACATAAAGAGAGATTAAAAATACAAGTAAAGACAAAAATATATGTAGACTATATGAATAACAAAATATGGCTAGATCTACCTGTGACAACATTTATCTGAGACACAGGGATGATCGAGACAGAGAAATTCTCCAAAAGGAGGAAGATTAAATGGCAGTCCGGGGGCAACGCCTCTGGAGGGGTTAAGGGAGCAGTGCTCTCTTATGGCGGTAAGAGGGGCCGTGCCCCTTTCTGCAGATTCAGAAAACTTTACGATATTGATAATATTACTCATATTAGACTTAGAGTCTAACAAGTTAGTCATAATATCAAAAATCTAATTTAGGTCTAGATCTAGATCTAGAAAAACTAGGCTCTAAAACATTTTTTTTTTTTTTTTTTTTTTGCCCGTGTTGAAATCTCGAAATCGGCGGATAGCTGCTTATCGGCGGGGAAATCTCATCCCAGCATCGGAGACACGAGTTAAGATTTTATGAAAATATTCAATATATTTTAATACTATGTTATTACGTTAATATTGAATAATATTTGCTGTCGCTTGCCTAACACCAAAAATAAGCTGTGGGACTATTATAAAGACTTTAAATCTAAAGAAAATCATTTGATTAGAGATTTCTGTTTTGAATGGCCAATTATACAGTCCATATAATTATTAGTTTTAAGAGATAGCAACTCACTTTTAATATTCGTTGATCCCGATTGATCCGATTTGCCATGTAAGTTATTTTGTGATTCAATTTTACTTGAAGGTGATTCATTTTTTGAACCTATGGGCGCAGCCATCTTGGATATCTTGAATTTTATGAGTTAAAAATTGGTGAGAATAAGTTTTTTTTAAAACTTATTTGAAATTAAAATTGCAAATACAAAAATAAAGGAAAATTGAATTAATTTTTGTAATCTATATATTAAACCAGCACTATAATAATGAAATATACTCAGATATTAATTCTCTTCAAATATTTTGCGGCTATTCATGATATCGATATCAACTTACGTCGAATTGTTATCGTTTCACAGGACTTACCTATGTAAATACGGAACGTACACTTCGGTCAAGAATGTCGCAGAAATTTTGATTTTGGGTGATTTATTTGGAAAGGTAATATAAATGTTATATTCTTTGTGAGTTTTGCTTTGGCTAGATGAAGTTTTGTGTAACAATGATGTTATTCTGAAGCGTGCGAAGGGCTCTCCTGAGTCCTGTGTTGAGTGCTGTGTTGTCGCAACGGGACCTGCCCGTCGCGTCTCCGTGGCGGGGGCCGCTTGCGGAAGCTCTTCTTCTTCTTCTTCTTCCAATGAGTACATTCCTCTTCGTAGAGTAAAGTCGTACTTTGATTGCTGGGGCTGCAATCCCAAGAACACATGACATTGAGTGCAGTAACAAAGAACTAAGCTACAGTGCAAGTAAAAAGATGCGTCTCAACTGGAGAGCTAACGGAGGGTAAGTGGTGCAAGACGGCTCCGGAAAGACTCAATAGACGGAGCCGAAACCACTGTTGCAGGCAGGACATTCCACAAGCAGATAGTGCTGGGGAAGAAGCTGTGTTGGTAGGAAAGGATTCTACAGTGTTGTTGTTTGAATTGTAGGTGATGTCCTCTGGTTCGGTCGGAAGAAGGGTACAGGAAAGGCGGCGCAGCTGGAATGGCGATTACTCCATGGACTATTTTATACAGCATGATGACCTTGCTGTGAGCTCGACGTTCTTGGAGAGACTGCCACTGAAGATCTTTCAGCATTGCTGTGACACTGCTCTGTTGGTTGTAATCAGCCTTCACAAATCTGGCCGCACGTCGTTGTACCATTTCGATTTTAGAGATGAGCTCTTTGGTATGGGGGTCCCAGACAGAAGAAGAGTACTCAACAATTGGGCGGACATAGGTCTTGTATGCTCGCTCCTTTATGCTGGCAGGGCATTTCCTCAGGTTGCGTTGAAGGAAGCCAAGTGTACTGTTACTCTTCTTGCAGATGGAGTGGACATGGTGTTTCCAGTTCAGATTTCGTTGGAGGATGACTCCAAGGTACTTTGCTTCGTCAAGAGTGCGGAGGGTCGTCCCATGGATGGAATAAGGGGATGCTCCGATGATGGGTTTTCTCTTGTTTGAAATCCTCAGCACCTCGCATTTGTCAACATTAAAGGACATGAGCCATTTCCTCTCCCATTCCTGAACATTTGCGAGATCTCTGTGTAGGGACTCAATGTCATCATGGGAATTGATTGTTCTATATAGGAGGGCATCGTCAGCATAGAGTCGAATGGATGAGGAGACACAATCGGGGAGGTCATTGATGAAAATCAAGAACAAAAGGGGACCCAGGACAGTGCCCTGGGGTACGCCCGATGTGACGTTGGTGGTGTTGCTCTTCTTCCCCTCAAGTAGGACCTGCTGAGTTCGCCCTTGGAGGAAATCCCGAATCCATGAGAGTAGTTCATTTCTGACTCCGTAGTGGTTCAGTTTCAGAAGAAGACGCTCGTGGGGTACTCGGTCGAACGCTTTCGAAAAATCGAGTAGAATGGCGTCGATCTGTTGTTTATCTCTGAGTCCTGTCGCAAGGTCATCTACCGTTACAAGAAGCTGCGACTCACAAGATCGTTTTCTCCTAAAGCCAAATTGAAAGTCTGTTAGGAGGTTGTGCTCGTCTAGGTGATGGATGATTTGGCTGTGGATAATGTGCTCAGCGACTTTACAGATGATAGAGGTTAGGGAGATGGGTCTGTAGTTCTCCGCTTTGTGTTTGTCACCCTTCTTAAAAATGGGTACGACATTGGCTACTTTCCATGCGTGAGGAATTTTTCCCTGTTGTAGTGAGGCATTGAACAGAAGGGAAAGAACTGGGGCTAGCTCACTTGAGATTTCTTTCAGCAGGTACGCAGGTAGGTTGTCAGGGCCACAGGCTGTGTGGGATTTGAGGTTTGCGAGAAGTTTCCTAACTCCTTCGCTGTCGATAACAAAGGCAGGGACTGATGGGTGTGGGCTTTCACCGAGGTCTGGTAGGTGCGATGCATCCTCATGGGTAAAAACGGAGGCAAATTGATCATTGAGTAGGTTGGCCTTGGCTGTGGAGTCACACTGTAGAATACCATCCTTCAGCAAGGGCGCGACACCAGTACTCTCGCATCGGGTGTTCTTTATGTAAGACCAGAACCTCTTGGGTTTGCCTTCTTCACAAAGCATGTCGTTTATGTATGAATGGTAGGCAGATCTGCATTCTTTCTGCATGACTTTCTTGAGATTCTTGTATCTGTCCCTGTCCGTTGGCCTACGAGACTTGCGTGCTCTTTTGTACGCTCGTTTCTTTCTCCTGGATAGGGTTTTCAGATGTTGATTTATCCATGGTTGACTAAAGCGTGGAGAAGAAAACTTGGAAGGAACCATGGTGTCAAGCACCTTGTGGAGCTCGCAAGATATTTGTTCCCACATATCATCCACATTGGTGTTGGTGGAATTTGATTCGACAAATGACTTCCCAAAAGACAGAATTTCTGATTTGATGCAATCAAAATCAGCCTTTCTCCATAGAAAGATTTTCCGACGGACTGGTTTCAGTTTCTTGGCACGTACATCAGATATTGCGAGGATCATGTCATGATCACCGACTCCTGGCAAAGGTACGCATTTGCTGATAAGTGTTGGTCTATTCGTGAGAAAGAGGTCGAGTGTTCTGTTCCCTCGCGTTGGAAAGTCGACAGTCTGTGACAGCCCAACATCGTTGAATGTAGATATGAAGCAGTTGTTGAGTGCAGCGGTGTACTGGTGACCATCTACAGCCGCGGTTTTCCAATTTATGTCAGGAAGGTTGAAATCCCCGCTGACCCAGACTACTGCAGATGGATTACCAACGATAATCTGACGGATTGCTTGGCACAGGGACTGAGCATAAACCAGGTCATTTTTAGGAGGTCGGTAGGCAGACACTACAATGAGCGGTTGTTGGCCATAGAGCTGGATCTTGGTTGCAATGATCTCACAGTCAGACTTTACTTCAACTTCGCAGTCGACTAGATCATTCTTGGTGGCAAGAAGAACGCCTCCATATCCATCGGGTCTGTCTTTCCTGATGGGTGTATTGTAACCTGGTGGCATCATCTCTGAGTTCAACAATGTTGGTTTTAGCCAGGTTTCGTTGGCAATAATTACGTCCGGCTGACAACTCTCCACTGCTTCCCAAAACGCTTCTCTTTTAGCGTACATGGATTGGAGATTGACAGACAAGGCTTTCAACGGTCTGGCTATGTTCTTCCTCCTTTTATTTTTGCCTTTAATAGGAGAAGATTGGTGAGTAGGGGATCCAGGATTTGGCGCAGAATCAGTGGAGTCTTGTTTGCTGTTGCTCAAGGGTGAAGGAGTAGATGATAACCTTGAGTCTTCACTGTTGCTGCTATTAGGAGCAAGATTATGTTCACTTTGCGAGTTGTCGATATCTGATAATACCTGAAACCTGTTTTCAGATACACTCAGGTAAGAGTCGAGTACAGATAGGGAGTGATTCGGTGAATCACAAGCCGCGCAGATCCAGCTGACATTTGACTTGTTGATTCTATCATACGAATCTGACGACATCCCCATACAGTCAATGTGATACCATGTATCACATGAATCACAAGCAACTGACATTCTGGTTTTAGACCAGCGAACTGCTTTCTTACATACTCCACATGGAAACTTTGGAGTATGAGGGCCTGGGTTAATTTCTGTGTCATGCGATTGGAGTATCAAGAGAATAGTTAGATACATTAATACAGAACTTTCCTTTGGCTTTGGTTTGAACCTTGTGTGAGACAGGCTTAGCATCGAAGAAGCCCAGGATGCTTGGAGGAATCTTTGATTAGTAACTGGTGCATTGTTGAATTTAACTGGGTAACAGAAGTTTAGATCTCTGTTCATTGGTAGGTTAAAGTCTACAGCAAGTTGCTCAATGGAGGTGATGTTTGAAAGCAGAACAGGCAGGAAAAGGAGCCCTGCAAAAACCTGCCAGTTAAACATGATGGCAAACTTGGCAGTGATGAGCTGTACTTATCTATTGGTCCTCTAGTGATGGCAGGCTAGTTCAACAGGAAATGGGGATCCTAGGCTTGGGTGAGAGGTGAAAAGTCATGATCAATTGACAAAACTCTCAAGATGGCTACCCTTAATTGTTCTACTAAGCTTGATCTAGACTAAACAAAGAAGTTCTTCAACTCCAAGGTTCCAGCGATGGGTTCAAAACTTGCACAAATTGGCGTGCACAATACTCTCATAAGTTGGTATAAAAAATTGATCCAGGATAACACTAAAGGTGATAGTGAGAAGCTGTGGTGTATGCTTTCACCTGGCTATCAAGTCCTCCGAAGTTAATCACGGGTTGATTGATATACAGTAGACATACACTACAGTACACAAGAAGACATACATGGGCCTACATGACACTCAAATTTCCAAGATGGCTGTCTTGGGTTGTGGGCCCGCGAGAAGTCATCCACTGTAGAATCCAAAAAGCTGGTATGATATGACATAAATACCACCTAAAATTGGCTCATGACTAATAAAATTAGAGATAATGTAAAAAAAAATAACCAAATTTTTCACCGCGAAATGTGGAAAATTAATGTAAATTTAGAGTTCAGTGAAGAGCACTCAAAGATCATGTGTTCCTGCGATCGCGCCGTCTCTTGCTCGACTTTCCTGGCCATGTTGACTGCCACTGCACTGCCAGCTAGTCTAGTAGATTACGTGAACAACAACAAAAGAAATCATTGGATCTCCTTAAAACTAGTACCATTGGATAAGGCATAACAAATACATCTATAAATAATATCAAGATCATCACCCAAAACAAATACGAAATCTAGTAAAATATTAACAATATTTTAATGTTTAAAAAAACACCCATTTTTTGGTGGCGCTTGTGCCTTGTTCAGAAACCTAAACTATCCAAAATTGGACCAGTAACTCCATGGCGTGGAGATCCTCATTAGAACATTACGCCTTTATGGTAGATAACTTTACACAGGCGCACACCCGCAAATCACCATCGTTATGCACTTGAAATAGTGTATACGGGAGTCTGTCATCGTTTTCCCGAAAAATACTCAAAAAATAACAAGAAAATTGACACAAAAAAGGTTAGGCTAGGCACATTCATGGGGCACTAGAGGGCGCTTCGGTCGCGTACGAAAATCTGAATGGCCTTGCTGCGGTGGGTCAGCAATAATCAGCCCAAAACTTGGATATGGGAGGTTGGAAGGATATATCTTTTTTATAATGTTATCCGGTCTTACCCTTAACCATCCTATGTTTAATCTATGTAGGAATAACATGCGAGTATGATAAGAGAAACATCGGGACCATTACTGAAGTAACTTTTAAAATATTAGCCTAGAAATGACCACCAAACGGAAAAAATTGACATTTTTTCCCGACAAATCTTCATAAAATCTGAGTTATAAACAATTCACATCTAGTCTACATGTAGGTTCACTAATACAAATACGATTTTCTGAAAATTCAGGTATGATTTTTTAAGTTTCTTTCAAGTATATTTCTGCACATTGCAGCGCCAATATTCTTCACTGCTTCAAAATCACCCTTGATTTTTTTTTTTTGCAACGAATTTGATACGAGGTCCGCGAGTGTTCCCCGTTCCTTGCGTGTTGAAAGTTTGGTAATACATAGTTTGCATTGACTCGCGCACGAAAAAATTGTCAAAAACAAAATGTCAAATGAAGAAATAAACAAGCTTTTGTATAGTTATAAGAGTTCTACCGAGGTTTCTTTGTCGATTTAATTTATTATATAGTCTCGATTAGAATTCAGAATTATCTCACTGAAAAGTTAAGAAACCGACGATGTTCTCGATCGTAGTTATTTTCATTTTGCCAGCAGCCGATCTAGCGTTGTTTGGGCAAAAAGCTAGGCCGCTGCCTTCCCACCGCGAACCTTTCCGAGTCCCACTAAAATGGCGCGCTGCGGAGCTCCGAAGCTGCGTTGGTATCGCTGCAAACTCTCAGCCGGCTAGCTCCCCACGACGGACCATTCGCGGTATGGTGAGAGTGTGTGTGTGAGGTATGATTTTGGATTCGAGAACGCACGTAACGCAACCGTGCGCGTCATTTAGAGCTGTCGAATGTGTACGACCAATTTTACATGTACGATTTTTAGTACAGATACTTGGTCAGTTTTCTTCTTATATCTTTGGTTTTACAACATTTAAAAATATAATTTCTTCAAATCTGCTCCTGACTCGGTTCAGACTAATTGTCTGATGTGTTTTCAAGTCAATTTTTTTAATATATTTTTTTGCATGAATTTGCCTAGTTACAATGTAGGCTTATAAACATACTGACTTTTAACTCATGATCTATATTTGGACATTGAATGAATATTTACTTCATTTTGGGTATGTTTTAGTAGGGTATCTCCACACCGCAGTTACGGGTCAAATTTTGGATAGGTTTCTGAACAAGCGCCTTTTTGGTCCCCCCCCCCCCCCCGCCCCCTTAACCATACAAGTCAATATGGAGGTTTGTGTGACAACTTGTGACCTTTTTTAAACCCGCATTGGCAAGCAGCAAGATGCCCAGCTGGCGTCTGCAATAAACGACGTCAGCACAGCCCTGTGAAAAATTGCCACTGCGCGAAAGTTTCGCGGCCACAGTTTCTGTGCTGAAAAACATTGTTTCGGTAATCAAATCACCTTGACATTTCATATACAGACCTAGTAAATAGATATTCTATTGATCAAGAGATATATCATTCGAAAACGTACTTAAGTTCCTCTATTAAAATCCAATGCTTTGAATATTTAGTCAATACCGGTTGCTCGTAGCCCCGATTCTGATCATCGCATAAAAAAAAATTGAAGAACGATACAAAGTGGAAAGTATTCATGATGTAAGCGCTTCTGATCTTCTGATCTTCTGAATAGAATCTGGACATCGCTAGAAATCAGCACTATTGTCCAGAGCTGGTCTGTCTGTTGTGCATTTTAGTAGGGTGTCTGAACGATTTTTCAATTTTCAATTTGGGATCGTTTTTCACCATTTTTTTTTTTATATTTGAATAAAAAGTGTAATCAGAATAATACATTTCAAATTTGAAGCTTCACCGATGTTTCTATCAAAAGATACAGCCCCTCCAAAACGCTGGTATATTCATATCATTTTGGTCAAAATCGACGAAAAAGACGTCCACGCAGAGTGATGTTGTTTTGCTAAATTTAGCCAAACAGCTGTATCGCGCGATATGCAAGCGTATGCATATCGTACGCATGCTGCTAAGCCAATGTGCGACTTGCAGCTTGAGCCACGTTGTCTCCGCGATGCCTGCCATTGACTAGTATGGCTAGCCGTTCGCGCAAAAAAAAACAGGAAGTGACTACACGTTATAGTCAATGGCACGCTGTCTCCGCGATATTGCCATTGACTATAACGTGTATTTACTTCCGGGTCTATTGTGCGAATGGCTAGCCATACTTTCATTCACTATAATGTGTAATTGAATTTGGGGTTTCGTTCGTACGCGGAGATGTTGCGCGATGTAACCATGGTTTGGACTGAGCAGAGCGCACGCCCCCTAATTAGCTGATCCACCAAATAGCGGGAAGGGTATTTTTAAACTGTAATCAGTTGTGATCCCTGGGGGCTAGCGAAAATATAAGCGTATAGAATTGTTCCTTAGGACTGGGACTACTTACCGATCGGGTGTCATATCTCAAAAGTGGCAAACCAAGTGGTTTTGACCAAGATATTTTTAGAATTTCGAGATGACCCCCCTTTGGAAATATTGGAATTCACTTGCTCTTTCATATGACACCTCATTTATTGAGTATCACCTTCAGGATCACAACGATAAAAGTTCGAATCTCGAATTGAAAAAAAAAACTTGACTTTTTTTGCACGTAGACTGCATAGGGATGCGTGCAATCTCTATGGGAAGAATTTTAGCACACAATATCGGGTGCGTGATCGGACACCCTAATTTTAGTTCAGCTTTAAGAGGTCTTTATTTAATTGATTTTTAAAGGCTACGTGTGCATTTGAGTTTTTGGTTGGGAAGGGTAAGTTGTTCCAATCTTTGAGTGTGTGAGGGAGGAAGCTGTTAGGGTATGCTTTAGTCCGGCATTAGAGTAGGGTATATCGATCAGGATCCCCTCTTACGGGTCGTGTTGACTGTTTTACGTATGGTGGAATATTGACTGCCATTTCTTGATGAATAGCTTTATGGAGTATGGAAAGTCTGCTAACTTTCCTCTGCTCTTGAAGAGGGGGCCAGTTCAGTGAGTTAACATGGTCTGTCACTCCTGTAATTCGGTGGTAGTCATTGACGACAAACCTTGCTGCCCGTCTTTGGACCATCTCTATCTTATTTATGAGGTTAGATTGATAAGGGTCCCATACAGATGCAGCATATTCTAGTTTGGGGCGGACTAGACTGTAGGGCTTTGTACGTGTAGGCAGCTGCTTTCACTTCAGTATTGCATCTCTCTGTAAGAAGCGCTAAAAATAGCAGTGCTATAGCGATTTGAATAGAGCCCTGTTGGTACACTCGATATCGATCGTGAATTAAGAGCGCAGTGCCAAATCGATGCACCGTAGACACGCGGATAGTCACGTAGAGGTGTACATGTACCTACAATGTATGTATGTATATCGTGTACATGTGAGTGTCGCAGCAAAAAAACATTGTTGGAAATCAAATCACCTAGATATTTAATATGCAGCTAAATAATTAAAATTTTTTAATATGGAAACATAATATTTGAACTCACTTCGCGTTCCTTCGTTAAAATCCGACACATTGAATATACATGTAGTCAATCTTTGGTTGCCCGTGGCTCTCGGGGTCTGGGAGCACGGGTGTGAAAGGGCCAGGGAGGGATCGGAGCCGGGCACATGAAATCATACAAAGGGAAAAATTTACGTACACTGTACATTGCAGCAGATTGACTGTATTTGACTTTACCATGATGTAAAATGCTGCACTTGAGCTGCAGTACATTGGAAAAATACAATTTAGTTAAGTGTTAGTGACAGGGAAAAAAATACACGGGGCTCAGGGCGAAGTAGCCCCCGAAATGCCAAAAAGAGCCCCCGAAAGACATAAAAGAGCCCCCTAAAATTGATTAGAGTTCAATGCAAAACAAAATAAAGAGTGTTATTTTCATGCAAGCAAGCTTGAAAAGTAGCCCAAATTTTTTAAGAAGTATTTTGTCCCCTGGTTAGTGAGCAACATATCCCCCACCCCTTCCCCTTTTACAGCTATGGAATTCATGTGTAGGGCAGCTAAAAGACCTTCAGACAGTAAATTAACTTGTGATCTTGTTTCCTATCTTCGCGAAACTGTTCAGTTCCTCTCCAGAAGGGCTTGATGGTTTCACCCGGAACTCTGGCTGCTGCGAACAACCAGACTAGACTGCTGGATGATTCCTCCCCCACCCTCAACCAGAACCAAGCCCAGGACAGCATCGACGTTGTGGACATAAATCTGGAATCGCGTAACAAAGTGGTGCCGGGGAGCACAAACTCAAGGATGACCTCGCCCACCATGGCAACGACGACTGACATGCGGAAAAAATGGCAGGTCTTGCCAGGAAGAAACACATATTTCTGCGATGGCAGGATTTTGATGGCTAAACAGAAGGGGATATTCTACTTGACCACTTTCTTGATTCTTATGGTCAGCACAATGTTCTTTGCTTTTGAGTAAGTATCATGATTTATGAATTCCTTTGTTTTTCAGAACCAACTTACCAAGTAAAAGTAAAGATCATGTTTTGTGTTTGGTACAAGTTATACCAAATACCCACCGACACTATACTCTGATCCGATGAAACCATTTGAAACATCATCCCAACAATAATGTTTGTATCCAGTTTAAAGGTACTACATGTATGTCCCATTTGCAGGTCAAAAAAATGAAAAGGTTAAATTCCAACAGCATTTGAAAGATAATACTAATTTAGAACTTCCCTAAAAAAGGTGGGGCTTGAAAATGTCTTCAAGAGGGAAAATAACGACTATTAGTTGTCAAATCTACTTAGGAGCTACATGTATAGAGCCAATGAGTAATGGTCTTGATTTTCAGACCATTGTACCGAAGGATCATATGTTTTATGCTGCGCAAAGATTAAATCAGTTTAATTTTGGCCATCACAAGAAGTTGGTTATCGATGTACATGTACATGTACATGTAGATAAATGCTCATGTACCCTTTACAGCTCATTTTATGTATGTTATTACCAAAGAAGAAAAAAAAGCCAGTCAGTCACTCAATAGTGTCTGACAGTAAAGTCTAGCGGCTAAACTGGTTTCCTTGCATAATTTGAATATTAGGACACTGCTTACGTTCAAATTTCACAGATTGGACATACATGACATCCTGAAAAGTTCTACAGAATTTGAGGTTGGCTGCAAAAGGGACATAGTACCTTTAAATGCACAAAATACATAAATACATGTGTACATTTAAATGTACACAGAGTGTTGATTACTTTATTCTTGGTTTACACTTTACAGTAGTGTTCGTTAAAAGTCCTCCTTTTTCTTTTTAATGGTAATCAGATTTCCTTACGCAGGTGCATTTAAAGCTACACAATTCATGTTTGAATCACTCGTTTCTACTGTGCTTTTTCTACCCTCCCCCCTCGAAATTATTCGTTTTTGTTTTTAAAAATTGTACAGGTACATGTACACTTTACATTCCACACTTGTTAAACCACATGTGCATAATTTGTATTACTGGTAACCTTGTTTTTTTCAATTACTCTAAATGAAATATTCTAAAGCCTACAGTACATATTGTTGAAAAGAAATCCTGATTTTGCACATTTCCATTCAGGCCACACATGCAGATGCATTCAGTCTTAAAGCAATAGTAGCACTAGCAGAGAGAGTCAAGCACACACCTGTTTTCCTCTTTTTTATCTAAATTTAACAACCCACAGTGTACTTGTAGTTTCAGTGCTCCAGTTTTATACTAGAGATCATATTTAGAGATTATCAATAGTTAGAGATCTCTTATTCATTTTTCTTCTGTATACATGCTTGTAAAATGCACTCGGATTGCAAAATTTATATCAGATATTGTCCTGAATACTTTATTGCAATATTCTTTTTTCTCCACTGTGGGGTCACCTTATTTATAATTTGTTTTCCTACCTGAAAAATTACTTTTTCAACATGAGATTTGTTTTACTCTAGGCAAAATATTAAAAAGATATTTTTTGATAAAAGGAAATAATAGAGAGAAGGAAAAAAAATCAGTATTTTGTAAAAAGTAAAACCATAGGTATTGCATGAAATTTGATATATCAAAATATGCTTTCATTTTAATTATATTTAGCCTGACATTTGATCACAGTAACATTTCACACTGTTTAGTATGGTTCCATTATCTTTAACAAACAGGGTTGCCATTTTACCTCTCTATCTAGCCAAGTTTCCCTTCCCCGAATGTCAAGTTAGAAATAGGAGTTGTTAATCAGGCATTTCCTTCCCCTATAATGCTTCTATAAACGATTTTGGAGAATATTGCCTTGACCAAAGAAGGGATTAATCTATGGAAGCCTTGGATTAGCATATTGAAGCTACGTTAATCCAGGCATGATGTCAAACTTTGATGGAATTAATTATCAGAAGAAAACTTAATTGTTAATCGTAGAAACATACTGTACATGTACATGGACGGAGACCTACATACATTGTACATGTACATGTACATGTATATGTACACAAGTATGCAGGTACATGTATGTACTGTACATGACTGACTTTTAATTCATTCATGAGCCGAGGCTAAGTTGTTAAAATGTTAAGCATAATTTCCTGTGCAGTCATGACTGCATCTAGTGCATACTAAAGTTTTATGATTAAGAAATGTACAGTATTTATTACATGTACAGTACATGTAACATGTACATGGAGTTGGTATTAATTCCTTGTGCACAATTATTGGGTTGATGAAATGTTGCCCTTTGAGTCAATGCTTGTAATTTATGGGTTTGTTATATGGGGCAATCGTACATGTATTTGTGCCCATTCATCTGATGAAAATTCAACAGAACCATTAGGCGTGTCTGCACTATCTCGAGATTGCCAAATATCCAGCTATTTGAACTATCCCGATCACAAACTATCCAGCTAATTTGCGTCTTCATTAGAACGAAGTAGCAAATTAGCTGGATAGTTGGTCGGGATAATATCCCAAGATATCTCAGTCTAGTTTGCGGTTTTCCGTGCTTACTCGAGGTCAGTGGTTGTACTAGCGCGCTGAGCGGTATAGATCGCATGTGCGAACCGGAAATCGTTGTGCATGATGGGATCGGGATATTTGACTCCGGACTTCGGTCTAATGAAGACGGTCGCAAACTATCCCGCTAGTTCGGAAATAGTGGGATATTTTGCAAACTAGACCGAGATATCTTGGGATATTATCCCGACCAACTATCCAGCTACATGTAATTTGCTACTTCGTTCTAATGAAGAAGCAAATAGCTGGATAGTTTGCGATCGGGATAGTTCAAATAGCTGGATATTTGGCAATCTCGAGATAGTGAAGACGGGCCTATTGAATAGCTGAACATTTGTTTACATCGTTAAAGATAAAGACCAGTTATGGTCATGCGATTGCATTGTGAAAGAAACGTTGTGGAATCGATCAGAAAAGTTTGATCATCTACATGTAGCATATAAGTATTGGTGTGTACTGCAAGGTTCTGGAATCATCAAAATGATAAGAAATTTGGCCCAGTCTTCGTAAAGTTACAAGCACTGTACACAGAAAGATGTATATATGGGACTACGCGACATGTGCGCGACACATGCATTATATCTATCAGGTCCAAATAGATATAATAATGTACCAAATATATCAATTAGTAGGCGTTTTCTCTGCAAAATTTGTATGATCACATATTAGTCAAGACATATTCTTTCACATGATTGGTAATAAGAGCTTCCTTTTCATTTTTTGAGAGGGGGGCGTTTCCAAAACTGGTCTTTACATTTAATGCATGATTTGTTTCCTGTTAACAAGTGGCACATTTCAGTTGATTGCTCTTAGCTTGTCTGTACATGTGTAATGTGTGATGCTTCCTGAAATGTTGGCTACACACTACTGTTTATATCACCATGCCAAATATTGTATCCTAAATGAAGGGCCAGGCACTGAAACCTAGAAGGAGTTTTTACAGAGCAGCACTCCTCTGTATTGTGAGAACTGCATACAGTAGCTTGTAGTTTTGCACTCTTTGTTATGACGGGCCACCTTTCATGTGCACAGTTCCACAGTTTCATTATCTTCAAAAGAATACGGTCCCACAACAACTGCACTCATGGATTCAATGTTAGCAAACAAGATTGTACGTTTGATTGGAAGTGATTACTCCCTTACATCATAGTTATTTATAGCACACTCAAAGGATAATGACAAAGCTAAATGCACCGACACAGATACTGGTATGTACATTTGTACATGTCCTGTACAGTAGTATGTCGTAGAATGTACATTTAGTCCTGTAAAAAGTACAAATATTTGTTTTGGATAAAATTGGATGTTTGTGGAAAAGGCCTTTCTTGACTTAATACTGTTTTTTACATCAGCCGTATTGTATTCAGCAGCTTAGAATCACAAGCGACATGTTATTATGTCTCTACTTGAACGAAAATGTACATGTAGATTACAGAACTTACTGTACATGTAGTTACAATGGACATGTGTAAACATATACCGGTACATGTACTGTTCATATACAGTGTACAAAATTAATGTAAAATCAATTTGATAATGTTCTGTATGTATTAGGGATAGGCATGCCCACACAGGGATTTGTACCCATACAGTTGTATGTAAATATTTTTGTCATTGTGGTATTTCCCTTTTGTCACTTTTTTTGCACTGTCATACACATACATTACATGTGACAATGAGAAAACTATTCAACCATAGCGCCACTATTTAATTTCCTACCTGTGAATAAGGGCAGTATACTTTCAAAGTAGTACATGTGTACATTACATGGAGGTCTATTCACACACAAGAAAGAGAGAGAGAGAGAGAGAGGTGTTCTTACCATTTCTATAGATATATTATTTATTCTTTAATATCAAAAGTACAAGTCCACTCTAAAAATAACTTAATTTCAATAGAAGTGCTCAGACAAACTAATCAAAAAAGTTTGAGCAAAATTGGATAACTAATAAGAAAGTTATGAATTTTTGATGACATGAAAAACTTTGAAAATCACAAGACAAATTGGCAACTCACTCATGAATCTGTGACATCATGTCCTCACTATCCACTAATTATTTTCTTTATATTGATAATATCAATTTCCTATTTTCTCCCTAAGAATCTTATTTCTAGATCCAAGTTAGATTCATAGTAATATATTTGTGTGTGGATTAATATAATGTAATTTTTCAGGTAAATCATGAAAAATGGGAATTTTGATAAACTATTTATATATAAATCAATAACTATGAATATACAATATTCAGAAAATATTATATTCTTCAAAATTTGTAAAAGATTTTGTGAAATGTCAGGCACGCAATATGATACAAATCATATAACCTGGGCAAAGGCATGGGGAAATCAAGTTTTGGGGATAAAAAGGGAAATTACCGTAATAGGATTAAACTACATGTACATAGTGAGGTCACAAACTGATGGACCTTGAATTGGCTGAATGGGGCGAGTTAAGATTTGCATAGCTACAGTGATCTCATATTACAAAGACTCCTAATTTTTGTCTCGCCTGCGTAGCAAAAAGCGAGACATAGGCGCCGCTTTTCCGGTGACGGCGGCGGCGGCGACGGCGACGGCGTCAACATCAAAAACTTAACCTAAGGTTAAGTTTTTGAATTTTTGGTATAATTTTTAAAGTATAAGTTCTTAGTCAATGAAACTTTGACTATAGGTAATCAAGTATCCCCAATCATGTGAGTAGAATTTCAGATCACAAAGTCAAGGTCAAAGGTCATTTCAGGTCAACAGACTTGGACTATGTTGTAGCATCATCATCGAAAACTTAACCTAAGGTTAAGTTTTTGAATTTTTGATATAATTTTGAAAGTATAAGTTCTTAGTCAATGAAACTTGGACTATAGGGTTATCAAGTCTCCCCAATCATGTGAGTAGAATTTCAGGTCACTAAGTTAAGGTCAAAGGCCATTTAAGGTCAACAAACTTAGACTTTGTTGTGGCATCAACATTAAGATTTTCAAAATGCTTCTTCTTCGTTATTTTTCAACCGATTTTGATTCTGATTGTTTCATATGATAGGGCTAGGAGGGGATTTAAAATTTCTACACAGAATCGTGAAATTCATTATCTATGCTAATTTATGCAAATTTATTCGAAATCACAAAAAAGGCTTCTTCTCCTTCATTTCTCGACCGATTTTAATTTGGTTTGCTTTATATCGTAGAGCTAACTTTGGTACACTAAACTTCTACACAGAATTTTGAAATTGTTCTCCATTAATTAATTATGGTAATTTATGTAAATTTATTCCAAAAATAACAAAAATTGCTTCTTTTCCCTCATTTCTTGACCGATTTTGCCTTATCTGGTAGAGCTAAATTTGGAACAATAAACTTCTACACAGAATTGTGAGATTTTGCTCCATTGATTATTTATGGTACTTTATGCAATTGAAATGAAATTATGTCCCTTCCAGGGCATCAAATTTCTATTTTTTGACCAGTTCAAAAGTGTACCACATAAAATTTACGATATTTGTTGTTGTGAGATGTGGATGAGCGCTACGTCATTGATGTTCTGGTTTATCATATTGAATTGCGTTATGCAGGCGAGACCGCCGAGAGCGTTTCCCTTGTTTATTTTTTGTCTGATTTATCTCAAACTTTGGCGATTCTGTTTCTCTTTAAAACTTTTCTGCTTCCATAATAAATGGATTAATTGAACAGGTTAGATTGCCCTGTTAAAACAAAATGTTTCAAATTTGCGAGGCTTACAGAGATCCATGAATTATACTGTACAAGAATTCAAGTACGAGAAATCGTACTCGAGTACATGTACATTAGTTGTTAACAGTGCGAGTACTCGAGTATTCGAGTACTTGTCGCAGTCTTACTGTACAAGTACAACATGAAAGCCATGGAAAGGTTCACAGTACTCAGAAGATTCCATGTATTTTTTCTGACCTCTGCACATGAATTCTTTATGAAGGACGTGCATTAGCCGACAATTGGGGAATTGAAAGCCGTCCGTCAAAGTGCCGGATCTGGTAGTGCCTGCAGGCAAACCGTGTGATCCCATTCTGAATACAGAAAATCTGAAATCTGAATTTAAAAGCCCAATTCAATTACCATTGATTTTTTTTCTCCACCTCTTCCAGACTTGACTTTGTATTGTATTTCTCCTTATTGAATTGTGTGCCTTTTTTTCACTCTTCGTCCCGCATCCACCCACACTTATCTCCTTTTCTCTCAAAACAAGATTCATTTTCACTTTTCCTCTCCATTTAGACTATCCCCTGTCTTGTTTCCCTCTTTACAATTTCCTTTCTTTGAAATTCTTTCTGCTTGCGTTTGAAACCTTATTCCACCTTTTCTTCCTTAAAGGATTTGGTCTTTACTCTTTCAATGTATTTTTGTCTCCATTTCTCAATCAGTCAGAGTCCCCAGTATTCTGCATAGTATTAAAGGAAACCCCACCTCAAGAAATAGCTTTACAACTGTAGTTATTTTGAGAGATTCATTGTATTCTTGCACAATAATTATTTAGTATTTGTAAATAAATGAGTAGCAATTGTTCCTGTGTTATATATTTTTTACCAAATATTATGTTTACCTTCTCAGCTATAATTTTCCTTCATTGAAAAGTAAAGGTTTTGTTGATGCATTAGAAAGTATTTCCAACTAAAGCTGGTACACTTCCAAGTTCACCGAGTTCATGTACAGGATGTACGTCATATTATTAAGAAAATGGCTTCACCAAGACATCATGCTACATGTACATGTAAAAGGCAAAATTACATCATGCCAGGATTATCTTCATTTATATCTCTTGCACATTTTATGTATAAAGGAATATTGTACATAAGAAAGCAAGAATACATCCCATCTTTCAACATACTTACACTAAATCTTTGGGGTGAGATTATTGAGATACATTCACTTACATGTACATATTTTAAAGTTATTTCTAATTGGCTATTTTTGTAATGTAACCAAATGTAATGCATGTACGTCTTTGTGAAGTGCCTCATTAAAAAACTATTTCATTCACCTGATAAGAATAACAGTACTTCAATAGACAGAATGGATTGTGGCTTGCCCTACCTAGCAACACTTAATATGCAGTTTGCATTCTGACTATTGAAATACTATTATTCTTATCAGGTGAATGAAATAATTTGTATTGGTGCACTTCTCAAAGACTTGAATGTATTAAGTTTGGTTAAAATTCTGAAAATGGCCTATTGTCTGCCGGCCCTCATGGTTAATCTCTTTCCATTACCCACTTCCAATTCCTCCTCATTGATTTATTAGGTGTTCTGAATGTTTTAATGCCTATTCAAATATTTGAAGCTGGTGGTATTCAAATACTTTAGCCCTAGCATACTGAACAAAGGCATACATGCATGGGCATGGGCATTGATCATGGTTAATGTACACTTTAGTGAGGCACATAATCCAGATGCTTGCATACTGTACATACATGTATCTACTTATCTAGTGGTATGTGAATGTTATTGTGGTTTAGATTAGCATAAGAATTAAGGTGGCTAACTGCAAGGATAAATGCTCTAGAAGAATACAATTAACAAGGTAACATTGCAATGATTGCACTGTAAAATGCTTTGTTCAGTATTACTTGGAAAAGAAAAGAAATCTATATAAAGCTTAAAGATTAAGCGAGTTCATAGTTGCAGTCTGAGCATGAGCAGATAAAGGTCATTGCAGACCAAATTCTGAAATACACAGAGACAAAATACTGGATACATGTACGTGCTCACAAAAGTTATGTAATCATTATTCAATATGCACAAGCAGTGCACTCCATGATACACAGGTGGAATTAATCTGTGGAAGGGGGAAACAAAGGCTATTTATGTAGCACCTCTATCGCTGTAGGAGTGATTATTTCAAAAATGTACAAAGTGGGACCTCTTCATGTTTTGAAGATCTGTGAACATATTCAGGATCATTTGGGACATGTGCTAACCGTGATGTGGTCTATGATCATTAATGTTATTATACTCTCCTTCCTTCCCTTCATCATTCCCCCTTCGTGCCGCAGCTCTCCATACTTGGCGAAGAGAGTGACGATTGCCATCCCCCTCATCGCAGCTGTAATGGTCGTCTTCTGCCTGGCCACTCTATTCAGAACCAGCTTCACAGACCCGGGCATACTGCCCAGAGGAACGGCCGCAGAGCTAGCAGACCTAGAAAGACAGATAGGTAAGGATTATATATTATCATGTACATGTAGCTAACAACAACATGGACAGACAGACAGACGAACAGAGAGTATATTGGTTGATTAAGAGGGACAGAGAGAGAGAGAGAGAGAGAGAGAGAGCTCTAATGAGAAAGAGGGCGAGAGGGGGGGGGGGGGGTGAGAGAGTGGGATGTACATTATGTGTACATACTTTATTGAATGGAGAATTTTTTAAAATTATTATTCATGGTTATATTGTTGTCTACCACAAAATTTGCAAAAATAGAAAGTGATTATCAACTTTAACGTAATAAGTAAATACAACAAAATGATGGAATTCTTTTTGTTAACAACAAAAGTAGGGAAAATTAGAAAGATTTCATGGCAAGATATTGTACAAGGCAATAAAAACAACAGCAAAATTCACTGCCTGAGAATGTGAGATTGAAATTAAAATCCTGTAGACTCAGGGAAATATCTCCAAGAGAAAGGGAAATGAGAAAGAGGAGGAGGGAAAGAGAGAGAGAGGGAACAGAAGTTGGATTTTATAAAGAGATGACATAGTGTAGATTTCAAATCTATAAAGCTTTTGCTAGTGTACTGCATGAGGCTAGTATTAAAGAGATACAGAGTACCAGTAGTTTGACATTTTGCGGTAGAAAGCCAGCAGTCACTTGCCGTACCAGCCAGTTAGGAAGTTAATCTGATGATTAATTTTCAGGCCACTCTTAAAATGAAATGACATCCACAAGGCATAAGGAGCTTGTGTGCATCCAAATTGACAGGCTGCTGTCCACTGAGATGTACATGTAATGCAAGCGCAGACGGCATAATAATGATGTTTTTGAGGATAAGGATTTTCCCATTTCATCCTTGCGGACCCATAATGAGGATTCATGATACTTGCTCATGTATGTTGTCTTACAATACATTAATGTTAATTGTTTTATAGGCCTATAGAGTGGTGAAGTCACTGAAGTGTGAAGTCATCAAAAATCTGTTTTTAGAATTTCTCAATTTTTTCTTCATTTTCCGAAAGAGCATCAAAAATAATGTCCAAATGTCAAAAACCAATTGAATATGTTAAGTATTGGCTGAGATATAACCATCTGAATAAATATATGCTCTGGCTCCTATACATGTACCATTGATGCTCTTTCGGAAAATGAAGAAAAAATTGAGAAATTCTAAAAATAGATTTTTATGAAGTCACAGCCTCGGTACTCTATAGATTTGACGTTTCAAGAAACATGATGTACATTTTAAACCTTGTTACAAAATATGACTTCAAGTTCACATTCAGGATCAACCTTCAAGGGATTGGGTATCCTTGCCTCTGATTCGAAACAAAATCCTGGATTTAGCTCATGCTGCAATCATGATTATTAACCTTTACATGTAGGTCAGTCAGGATTCCCACCACTTTTACATATGTTTTGCATGTTTGATTATCAAGATAAATATGATTGGAATTCAAAAGCATTTTCCCAACAGGTTTTATTACATTACAGTCTATTGTGGAAAATGAGTATGGTAAAACCGGTCACTCAAAGATTTTTAATTTTTTGAAGCACTTCATGATCATTTTGAAGTGCGATTTTTTTTTTTAGGCCTTCAATATTACACCATATCACAGACACTAATATTACACGTACATGTACATATGTAGGACCATGCATCTCAGATTTGTAAAACTGGAAACATTGTTAAACAATGCCTTTAACCTCTTCCATGTCTTTGAAAACAAATCTAATGAAGATGATCTAAACAAAAACCTGAAACAAAAACCTAAACTAGAAACGGTACTAGTGCAGTTCGTACCCATGGAAGATCCATTTAAAAACAACATATGATTTACCAGTATGCGTTCAAGATTTTTTACCCCCAAATTTAAAGTTTAAATGCTGATATACAAAAGTACATTTAGATGTACATGTATGTATGAGGCATGTAATTTTCTATACATGTACACATTCACTGCAGTGGCACAAAAGGGTTTAAGTATCTGTGCATGTGAATTTTATTAACTGATCAAATGTTGCGGATCTATGCCAGATGTTTCAACGTGTAGGCCTTAACCATAATGATGTAAACCGTGTGCAGATTATAACACTAATACGCAGCTCGTATTTTCATTTTCTAACCATCGTCTGATTCTTGATCTCACCATCTGACTCTCATTAAAAACATCATGTCACATGGGTGACGGTCATTTAAATGAGCATGTCACTATGCACTCCATACTGCAATCTAGGAGATACTCAAACTGCATGCTAATTGGAGGCCGGCCATCCGGCCTGCACTTTTCTGGGGTGCAATCTGAGATGCGCCCGAGCTCTTAAAAGTTAAAGTTGTTTACTGAACACAAGCATGGCAGAATTTCCCGATAGCATGATGGGCATGTGCAGCTCAGAAACATTATAGAGTACTGAAGTATGACGTCACAGTGTCATGTTGTAGATTTTAAAGGTAGGATGACGCTGGCAGTGGTCACTTAATATCACACAGTACATGAATGAATACCTCCTTATTATACTACAGTAATAGAAATAGTAATGGTTTGTTGAAAAATTATTTTGTGACCAACTGGCCAAAAGGTAGAATTTTGTTTAAAGAGTATTAAAAAAACAAACATTGTAAATCATAATACTGTATATTGAAAAATATGCAAACTGAACTGAAATAATAATTCATCAAATTAGAGGTTAATAATAAAAAGGAATAAATTGACCGGGGAATCACTTTCAAGTTTTTATTTCAATTCAAATCCACAAAAAAAGACATCTTATGAAAGTATAAAATACAGATTATATACAATATAGAAAACAGAGAACACAAAAAATGGAAACATGTCTACAAATATACTGGAATTGTACAAAGTTAATCAATAGAAATAAAACCGTATGGTTCTGTCAAGGCAGTCCCTGTTATTGAAAGATTCCAAGTTCCACAGTTACCTACAGGTATGTATAACGCTATAAAAGTATCCGTAGAACTTTCAAAATTTGAAGGAAAAAAAAAGAACAAATGGTAATGATATACCGGTAGCCAACAATGCAGAGGATATGAAGTATACTCCCCCACCCTTCTCCCACCCCTCTCCCACCCCTCTCAGTGGAAAAAAAAAAGTACTTCTCATTGAAGTGAATTATTCCAGGAGTGTGCATTAAGTCTGATAATGCTCAGAGAATGCTTTTGGTCAAGGCATCGGATGCTCTGTATACACTGTCTATTTATATGTCTCCTTCATTTCCTGAATAGAAACCTCCCCTCCAAAAAACCAAAAGAATTAATAAAATACAAATTTATTTAGAAAGCACAAAGACATCAGGAATGTAATGTTTATTTTCATGTAGACCTACAATATACATGTATTATTATGCACTTTGAAGTTTGCATGTACCGAGTTGGACTGTATTTTACGGGTCTTTACCGAATAGTTATATTTTCAGGACATGCATTCCACTTTTTGTGGTTTGGCTCAGTAACTTTTGACTCAGAGCCCTCAAAAATACATGTTTTTTTTTTGTTTTCAAAGACATTTTATTTTAATAGAACATTGTAACATTAAAGGTAAAGACCATTATTGGAAACGCCCCAATTTCAAAAAAGTGAAATGGAAGCTCCTATTACCAATCATGTGAAAGAATATGTTTTGAATATTACATGATGATAAAAAATTTGACGGGAAACTGCCTACTAATTGATATATTTGGTAAATTAGTGTATCTCTTGCCTGTTGAGAGATACAAATGCATGTGTCGTGCACGTGTGTGTAGTCCCATATACATCTTTCTGTGTACAGTGCTTCTAACTTTATGAAGACTTGGCCAAATTTCTTATCATTTTGATGATTCCAGAACCTTGCAGTAGATGATCAACCTTTTCTGATCAATTTTACAACCTTTCTTTCACAATGCAATCGCATGACCATAACTGGTCTTTAGCTTTAAAAGAAGAATATTTTATTGCCAATTTGAAAGACATTTAATTCATGTCATCAATAAGCCCTAGAAAAGAATCCCCTTCTTGAGAGGGTTATCATTGTAAATGACATCTGTATCATATTCTTTATTTGTACCAATGATTATGAACATCTTCATCTTAATCTCATATTGATGAAACTTTGTGTTTATCTTCTTATCCAAATGTCAAATCTAAGAAACTCTTCCAATACCAATTGATCCTATTTTGTTGGTTGAATAGAATGCTGTTGAAAGACAATGACATTCCCTTTATTTTCTCTACAGTTCGTAGAAAACGTGGCAAAAGGCCACTGAGTACTCATGACATGTACCTGTACATGTATTTGTTGTAAACTCAAACTGGCATATCATCTGTCCTGAATGTTATGTGCCTTCTCTTTAATGGGGCAATTAAATATAAATGAGGTTATTACTCAAATCCCTGGAGAGGGAAACATGTTTGCTTTTACCTGCTCTGATTGAGTTGGGACCTCAATAGTTAGGTTCACATGACAGGACCGTGTGGATGCACTCGTGGTTATGAAACATTATTAAAGTTAACTTGAATTTACAAACCACCACAGATCTTGAGGTTAGCGCAAAAACTGGGAGGATCTGGGAGTTCTCACTCAAAGTTAAGTGTTGTGTGAGGATGCAATTAACTTTGAAATTAAGCCAGCTTGTACAGTAGTTAAAGGGATAGTTGAGTTCTGTTGCAGAGGGCGCTACACAAAATAATTTTTTGTGAGATAAATGAAAAACTGAGTGTCAAATTTGAAAGAACATAATATGACAAAATCATCTTTGTTTGATCAAAATCGGTTCAGAGACGGCTGAAATATCACGATTTCTAATACTTGTGTACATGCATGTACCACCACAAATATTTAATTAGACATTTTGAAAAATTTGAAAAAACCGTTGAAAAAACGAAATAACGCCTAATACTTTGTATTTCAGCCTATACCAATGTTGGCTTTTTTGTTGGCATTTTCGTGTTGCTTAATATATTACGCAAAACCAGCCGGTCCATGTATTGTTATTTTTAATTTAATAATTAATTAACGGTCACCGTGTTTTTTGGAAAGTGGAGCTGAATTGGTATGCTCTTATTGGCTAAATTTCACACATTTTGGGGTCTAAAATTCCCTTCATAGCAATTTTAGGTTATAAAAGGGCACTAGAAATGTCATAAATAAGAATAAGAGCAAAAACCATGCACTTTGAAGGCATTTGCGGTCTAAAAACAGAACTCAACTATCCCTTTAAAACGAATGCTTTCCCCACTTTGAATACTTGTTGTTTTGATCCCGTCCGATGTAAACCCTCGTCGTTGTCAGTGGAAAGTTGTTTATAACTGGTGAATGTACCGGTAGCTAATGTTACTTGTACAATGTAATATTACCTGTAAAATCTAGATTCTGCACCTGCGAGTCATTATCACCACTACCGGGTACGTTATTTCATAGAAGTTTCCTTGGTGTCGGTATAATCAAAACCAAAGTACAACAAAAAAGCGCAAAAGAGCTTCAGCATTTAATGTATAGATGAAAATATGAAATAATAAAACTTATGCACTGTATGTATTCATAAAATGTAGATGTAGGCCTTCATCCCTTCTAGGAACTTATTGTCCTATGTCTGTTCTTTCTTCACCATCAAATTTTATGTTATTTCCTAGTACCGGTAGCAGGAAAAGTTCTAGCGAAGAAAAAAGCAGACACACTCTGTTCATAAAATAGCTCAAAAATGATTGGTGCATAAAGTTTGAAGCAATTTCATAGGTGTCCTAAAAAATAATGTTTTAGGGTACTTGTAGTTTATATACATGTACATGTAGGTACAGTGTATGCCATCCAAAATGTGTAAATGAGGAATTTAAGAACAAAATGGCATTTACATGTATTTAATTTGAATATTTAATCGTGAGTTGGATTAACTTCATGGCATGTGTGCACTGCATCGTATGAAATGCATGCAGTGAATATTAATAGTAAGGGAAGGGGTGGGGGGGGGGGGGAGGGGGAGTGGTGCCGGTATTAAAGCCTAGTCTCACAATGCAGAGACTAATGCGTATATCGACTGGCAAGAGTTTGTGCCTGCAAGCGAAAAAACAAGTACTGTACGTCACTGCGAAAATTATTTTTATAGAATGTAAGAAAATCCACAAATGTCAGCTTTACTGTACCTGCCAGCCAGGAAGCCAGGCATGGATTTAAATCTGTGGTCCAGATTTGAAGATTGATTGCTTTGATATCAATATTTTATTCACATTCTATATTTGAAATCTCTGTTCATTTCCTTCTACTGATACAGCACTCCTTGCACAGGTGTTTTCTGGTGCTTTAGAATCACCGACCACTGTTTTTTTTTCCCGATCGTATCAATGACATCAGAAAGTTTGCCTGAGGGAGTAAGATTTGATAAATATCCTTATCTGAACAGCACATGCATAATGTATGAAACAGCGGTATTTCACCTGAAATTGTTTCTTTTGCTCCAGTTCCTGATACCATTGCATACCAAATGATGAAAATTTAAAAAATCCTGAGTTTTACATTACACTGAGATCAACAGTGGCAAGTTGATAATGCCAGTTTTTAAGGATATACACTGTAGGCGGCAGGTTTTTCTTGGGGGGGGGGGGGGAGGTTTTCTAGTATTATTCAGCTGAATGGGTTATACCTGTAGCTCATGGCAATATTTTTTGTTTTTCAAGCAAACGTTGTGATGATTAAAATGTATGAGGTACACTGTAATTAGAAGAGAAAGTCTTATAGTTTTGTTGAAAGGCAGAGTGTGAATGAGAGTGAATGCTTGATGTTGACAGACAAACAGAGATACAGACAAGCAGACAGACAGACAGAAGATACATCACAAGTGCAGTTTCATTTTAATTGCTTTACAGATAAAACATTTTTTTGTAATTTTTCTAGCCTCTCTTGTTATCCCCAAATTGATATTATTGTCCATGGAGCATAAAATAAGAATACTATTTATTTGTTGGTATATATAATGATTAATTTTGGGGGTATTTATTTACATGTATATTACATTTAATTTTAATAGTGTCTGTTTTTTGTTTTTTTTGTAGAACCTCCAAATCCAGATAACCCACAGTACAGACCACCGCCAAGAACGAGAGAAGTGACAATTCGAGGCCAAACTGTCATCTTGAAGTACTGTTTCAGTTGTAAGCTCTTCCGTCCCCCGAGGACGTCGCATTGCAGCATGTGTGATAATTGTGTTGGTAAGTCAGGTCCTCTCTTACTCCTCTTTTCTTTTGTTTTCCTTCTCATAACCCAGTCACACTAAAGGCTTGTTCAGATATGAGGCCTTTGCGATTTGTTAGCGTGTTAATCAGAGCTGCCAACCATTCCGTTTGTGCCGGAATTGCTCCGTTTTTTCCTCCAAATTATGGTATTACGTTTTTTCTTCATAAAATATGTTTTATAATAATTTTTTTTTTTTTTTTTTTTTTACATACCGCACGTCATACAACTGCCCTCAGATGGTGATTTGATCACAAATTCAATAGAAAACTAATTTTAAAACATACTTGAAGAGAAAAATATTCTCAAAAAAAATGAAATGCCGATAATACCAAAATAACCACAAAAAAAAGTTACATGCTTGTATGGAAAAAACAGCATGATGAATGAACATTTCTGCATTGGAAGTGTGTCGCGCATGGTTGTAAGTTTCGTTTTTATGAAATCCTTTTTTTGGCTTGAAATTCCTTTTTTTTTTGCCATCATGATTCCTTTTTTTGGTCGCACAAGGTTGGCAGCTCTGCTAAAGGCTTGTTCCGATATGAGGCCTTTACGATTTGTTAGCGTGTTAATGAATGCCAACTGCATGCAATAGAGGTCCTGCACGTGTTCACTGAGCTCTGAGTTATAAGAATGTATATAAAATGTGAAACGCATTTTAATGAAAAACATATCTGAAGAATGCTCAGTGAGACCAACACCAAACCGACTACAGACTGAACAAATAACTGAATTATCCTGAATGACCAAGAATCTGTGAGTTCATAGTCAGTAGGCCTGTCCTTATCAGTTTGAGTTTGCCAAATGGCCCGCTATTTCCGATTCAGGAAATTAGCCCAAAGTTACAAATCGCATCTTCTTCAGCTCGAGTCTTCGGGCTGGTGAAAACGGACTGGACAAACAGCGGGCTATTTTGCAAACTCGAGCTGATGAAGACATGCCTAGTGTGAAGCTTGGAGTCGAGTTAGTGGTATGACTGAGGTATCGGTTTCACATCTCATTCTGGAAGGTATCCTGTCTCCCCTCCCCTTCCTCTCCCACTTAGCCTTCTCATCCATTACCCATTCACTCCCTCTTCCCTTAAAGGTAAAGACCAGTATTGGAAACGCCCCAATTTCAAAAAATGAAATGGAAGCTCTCATTACCAATCATGTGAAAGAATATGTTTTGACTAATACATGATGAAAAAAACCGCCAACTAATTCATATATTTGGTAAATTTGTTTCTCTCATGGTCTGTAAGAAATATAGGGTAGTCCCATATACATCTTTCTGTGTATAGTGCTTGTAACTTTACGAAGAATGGGCCAAATTTCTTATCATTTTGATGATTCCAGAACCTTGTAGATGCTAGATGCTAGATGATCAACCTTTTCTGATCGATTCCACAACGTTTCTTTTACAATGCAATCGCATGACCATAACTGGTCTTTACCTTTAACCCCTTCTCCAGTCTTCACCCCTTCCCCTCCATCCTTCCCTCTCCCCTGTAACTCCCATCTACCCTTCAGCTCTCCCTCTTCTCTTTCTCCTCCCTCTTACTATCCAGCTTCCCTTCTCTCCCCCCCCCCCTCCCCTTCTCTCCCCCTCCCCTTCCCTCTTTCCTTCTCATCTTTTACCCCCTTCCCCCCCCCCCAATCCACTCTCCCAAAGTTTCAATTCCCCTTGCCTCCCATCCCTCTCCATGATTACCAAGATAACAGACATCAAAGGAAAAATAATTGCAAAAAACTATCTGTACAGTGTAAATCAATATGTTTTTCTGACATTTAAACACTGCTTCGTGCGCAGTTTGACTATTAAATTAAGGCTCCTCCAAATAGAAAAAAATAGCAAGATTTACTCATGAATTGGATGTCTTGTAACATTGAAAGTCTTGTAACATTGAAATTCCCTAAAATACAAGAAACTTCTGACCACTCTAAAGAGTGTACATGTAGCTTGGTTATTAACATTGAGCATTAATTTAAATTTTAACCAGAATTAAAATTTCCTCTTTATTTTAACCAGAATTTAAATTTTCTCTTATTTTCTTAATATATTTGTCATTTTTAAGCATTTTTGAGTAACCAATAAACCATAGCACTTTATTTTGATACAGTTGAGCTGCGTGTACAAGTACAACTGTATACTGAAGCATGTGTGCTTGCTTATCAATCAGATATTATGTATACATGTACGTGTACCAGTTACAGTGTCAATAGAAGATTTAGTTTGATTAAAGCACTCTTATAAATAGTTCAATGATGCTTTACTCAGTCATGGCCATTAAGGGGCCCCCTCTTTATACATGTACATGTACATGTACATGTTAATGCCCCTTCCCTTGTCACCTGTCTTTGATTTCTATCCTTATAACATCTGGATTGTGTAAATTTATTACCCAATGGTATGTAGTATTACAATATTTATGACTTTTCATTATATTTATATATACCGTATGTTACATTTTGTTTTTGCTGTTATTGTTGAGATAAACAGATAATTTTGTCCAGTAAACCCAAAACTCACTGTATTCAATTGAGAGAAAGTCTGAGAAGAAATAACATATTTTGTGTGACTTAAAATATGAATAAGTAATTAAAATCATTTTTTAATTCAATACATTCATGTGCATTATGTAGTCATTTGAATTACAATGTATACACAGTAAGCACTGTTTTGTAAGCTTCTTAATTAAAGACCCAAATATGCTTCAAAATAGAGACATTTTTCATAAATTGGCCTGACTTTGTATGGTTTCCAAAATATCATTAAGTATTGCCACCTCTCTTTAAAAGGTTCATGATATTACAAAACTCTGTATGCCCAGTCATTGTTACATGTACGTCAACAAGAACTACACTCAGGAAGGAAATAAAAGAGGAAATTGGACACCATTTATGATTATTATTTTCAAATAAATATAATAAACCCTAAATAAACACAAAATCAGATCTTCTTATGAAATGCAAATGGAATCATACCATTCACACATGAGTGAGCATAGCCATTTTTCAAAATATGAGTCTGAAAGAAAATTGCAACAATGGGAAATCTGACACATGTTCATTAACATTCAAATGTCTGCTTGCCTTTTTACGCAGTTCTTAATCGGATCTTATAATAGTTAAATTGATGTGCTCATTCAAGTGTGAAACTTGATCATACCGTAATTGATGTGGGTAGAGTATTAATTTCTTTTAATTTGATATATATTTCTTTATTTATTTTATTGACAGTTTATACCTGTATGAACATTTTGAATAATAAAGATTAAAAAGTGTCCACTACTGGCATCTTCCTTTTCTTTTTTTCTTTTTTTTGCTTAAGTGTATTTGACCATTCATTATTAAATGGGTCATCTTGATTACTGCTTTCCCTCCAGCTTTGATGTCAAATTTTGTATACAGTAGGCTTTTTGAAGACTGCTCATGTGGAAGTAAAAAGTAGTGTTGTATACATGTATGTACCACATGTGATTTAAAATTTTACATTGTTGATGTCTGTTTTCAAAGTTTGTATTCTATTTTATGTGTCTTTTCTTCTATTTTTCTTCTGCAGAAAATTTTGACCACCATTGTCCGTGGGTGGGAAACTGCGTTGGCAAGAGGAATTACCGCTATTTCTATCTCTTCTTGGTCTCAACGTGTATATTATCTATGTTTGTCTTTGCCTGCAATATTACTACACTTGTACTAGGTAAGTGGCAGTCCAATATTTCTAGTTCTCAAGTATCCTAAATATAAATCTCGAGCATAGACGTGAGAGTCATCTTTGGTATTCTTAGGAGAAATGAAAGACTAACCACTTTATTTCTAAAAATAAAAAACAAACAAATTGGCCTTTTTCTTCTTTTCCTCTTCTTCTTCTTTTACTATTTCTACTTCTTCTTTTTCTTCTTCTCCTCATTCTTCTTTTTCTTCTTCTTCTTCACCTTCTCCTCCTCCTCCTCCTCCTCCTCCTCCTCCTCCTCCTCCTCCTCCTCCTCCTCCTCTCCTCTTCTCCTCCTCCTCCTCCTCCTCCTCCTCGTCCTCCTCCTCATCCTTTTTCTTCTTCTGCTGCTGCTTCTTCTTTTTCTTCTGCTACTGCTACTTCAACTACTTCTATTTCAATTTACCCAGGTGCTGTTCTGTCATAGGGCCCTGCAATTTATATTTATTATCATGTCATACATGTGAACATTTTCTGAAGAAAGTGCATACCTGCCAACCACCCCGATTTAGGCGGAGTTCCTCCGCATTTTTCATACCAACTCCGAATTCCGAGTGCATGCCTCAAAACTCCGATTTTTTTTAATTTAATTTTTTTTAAAGAGTTTTTCACTTGGAGAATATATAACTATTATGTTTGTATTTTGAAATGTAAAGCGCCTTGAGCATGTTCATGTAAAGGTTCTCAATAAATACCAATATGTACATGTATGTACATGTATGTATAAGACTAAAGCATAACACAGCACTGATAACCAGTTCACGCCGACATCCGCGCTCGCGCTCATAGAAGATATACACAGCGAGAAAAATTTACTCCTAAATTCTCTTGTCTCAGGTTGGCAGGTATGAAAGTGTCATGGGTTTGTAATTTTGATTTGCTTTGAATGTTTTTTATTTCTCCTGACGATCCATTGTGTCCAATTAGTGAAAATCCTGTCTGGATTGTAGGAACTATAATGTAGAATTGCCTGAATGATTAATTAGTCTGTTTCCTGTTCCTCAACCACTGGCTGTGTTATAATTGTGTGTCCTGTGGGGGTTTCTTGCATTGAAATATATGCTCTCTTGGGCTCTCAATTTCCCAAACAACATGAAAACTTTCGGTCGACTAGTGGATGTGTTTTAGTGTTTCTTGTCCTGTGAGGTCGTTGCTGTTGAACATGCTCTCACTCGTTTGCACACACACACACCAACAAAAAACGTTTTCTACCCATTTTATTGCATGTTCTGTGAGGTTTGTGCTGTTATATTAAACATGCCCACACAATCAGAAAGACATTTTCTAAGTATTGGCTAATTTTTGATTTTGTGTCTTGTCTTGTTGGTTTTACTCAAACTTATTTACAACCATTTAGAAAAAATGATTTCGAACTAGTGGCTGTCATTCATTGGTTTATCCGTTAAAGTATTCCCAGGACCTTTTACTGATGAACTGTCTCTCTCATTTTGTTATGCTTTTATCACAATGCACACCGACTCGATGTCAATGTTAGGGGATTTCCCCTATATGTTTATTTGCCCTTAAATGTTTTTATGCCTGTATCAGAAACTGCAACCAGACATACAGTACCGTATGTACATTTAGGCTTTACCAATAGCATCAATAGGAAACGTAAATGATACACTGTATGACAAATGGGTACACTATTTACTTGTCAAATTTATATGCTGACTGGCTTGTGTAATGGTACACTGAACATTTTGTGAAAATACTGCTCAATGTCCAATTCCAGTCATGCAGAAGTTTATGATAACAGTGAGTAAACATTAGAAACTTTGAATGTCTATGAATGGGGGATATTTTGATACGATAACCATGCTTCGATCGTGCCCACTTTCTGGCATAACATATAGAGAGAATTTCATTGAATAGGCTCCAATAAAGATGAGTAATTCATGTACATGCGTACAGTGTACATCATATGTAGGTGTTTACATGCATATGTACATGTATGTATAAGGCCATTAAAAAAAATAAACATGCTTCCTTTTTGGGGGCCGCCTCCTATTTTTTTTTGAATTTTTGAATTTTTTTTTAAAGAAAAAAAACATGAAAAACACTGCTAAAATGGATCTATTTCTGATTAAAAAAAAAAAAAAAAAAGTTGACGGCCATCTTGAAAAGAAAACAGATTGTCAGGGAAAATGTACCGAGCGGCCATTTTGAAAGAAAAAAAAAAAAGGGGGGGTCTCCTCCTTCCTATTTTTCAAAAAAACAGGACGCTAAACATGTTTTTTTTTTTTATTTGGCCTAACTTAAAAATAAAAATGATGGTCATTTTCAAGACAAGGTCTGTTCATGACAACTGTGCTATTAATTATATGCTGGGGCCTGTAGATTATCAAGCATTTTGGAAAATCACCAACAATTCCTTTGGTTAACATTGTGCATGCATGGGCCTATTCTGACAAAAATAAACATCTTTGGATAAAAATAGAATTATTATTCCCAGCGTTTGATCTCATAGCCCTACTAACATTGTGCAAGGAATCAAGGATATATAGAATGATTAATGCAGATGAAGCGGTTTAATTGGGAGAAAAATGACACTGTGAGCTACATTTATTAAAGGCCCACTGCACTACTTGTAGCTACTTGCGCCCTCTATATAACAAACAATGCCTAATCGGTGACCATTGGTCCCCCATAATCCTCTTTTTCTTATGTTAACTGAGAGCTGAGTTGATGAGATAACCACCTGTCCAGTGACCTTGCAGGGCAGTCTAATCCCTCCTGTAAACTATGGCAGATATTAAAAAAGCTTTAATACAACTGCATAAAAAATATAAAAAATCTTCATTCTTGCCAGACATGAAGAAATCATGTTTTTGAATGATTGAACATGAGTTGTCATAGAACGTGTGGCAAATATAACTTTTTTTTTTTTTTTTTTTGCTTCGGTTTTCATATTTCTGGAGGCATTTGTTTTGAAAGGCTCATATGTGCTGTTAATTACGAATATCACATAAAATGTTCCTTTCAAATCAGGCTTTAAATTGACCATTAATTAGTGCTGCGTCTTAATTTGTCTGCCTTTTTTTCTTTCCCCTTTTAATTTTTTCTTTCTTTTTGACTCTTTTGTTATTCTCTACCAGTGTACGTTCAAAATGTGCATCATTTTGTGTCACATTTTCAAAGAAGACCACAATTCCAGGCACAATAAAATCCCTTGAACGTGAGCCAGGTTACATGTAACTTCACATTTTTGCAGGTATTCACTGAGCCATCTCATTGTCAATGTCCATGACATTGGACTCTCCATAGGTATAAACTCGTTGACTATTCATGTCGTGCTGCCATATTTCTGAAAGGTTGCCCAACACCTACATGTGTATGTAGTTCTTAAGATCTACATGTGGAACAGAACATTATCTGTTCAGAGCCGGAAGAGAATGAATTAAATGTTAAAAATGTTAAAGTACTTGATATGAGTTAATGCCATTCTGGTTCCGAAAGGACATGACAAATGTATATACGTAGAGGTGTTGTGGTCGAGTGGATACGTCGCCGGACTGTCGATCACAAGGTCCGCGGTTCGAGTCTCGCCGCTGCACTAATGTCCTTTGGCAAGACATTGATCTACATTTGCCACACTCCACCCAGGTGAAGTAAATGGGTACCTGGTAGGAATTTATTCCTTGAAACGCAGCGCGCGTAACAGCTGCACTGCTAAAGCCAGGGTAATTATGCTGCACATTATTGTAGAGCGCTTAGAGACTTCTGACAAAGTAAGTGTTAGGCACTATATAAGCACTGTAATTATTATTTATTTATACTTTATAAGCACAAAGTTAATGCCTTGAGGCTCTAAACGAATGATATACTGCTAAGAAATGCGATAGTTGTTTTTCAAGCTTCTAGAAGCCAGCCTTTGGCCATATCTATTTGTATGGCTGTGTGATATGATATGTACTTTTTTTTTCTTCATAAATTGCTATGAAATTAATATTCGTAGATGTCTATGAAAAAAATAGTTTTTTGTAGATTCCTACATATTCTTTGTAGATTTTTGTGCCATACAGTGTTCACATACATGTATGAGGCAGTGCGATTCAGTGTTCTACACTATCTATTTGAAAATCGTGACCATCAATTCAAAAAGGAGTGAAAGTGCGCCTGCACACTGCGCGGTATGTTTGAAAGTTTCCTGGAATTTTCTTGGGTTGATTTTAATTGGTTTGAAACTATAAGTTAGTTCTTGAAGAAGATCTTTCAAACGATGGGCCTTGCCTCTGTTTCATTGAACCTGCTTGCAAGAATTATCTAACAACTCATCTAATATACCCCAACAGATGCAATGTTTTCAGGAGCTTATATCAGTCACTAGGCCCGTCTTCACTATCGTGAGATTGCCAAATATCCAGCTATTTGAACTATCCCGATCGCAAACTATCCAGCTATTTGCGTCTTCATTAGACCGAAGTAGCAAATTAGCTGGATAGTTGGTCGGGATAATATCCCAAGATATCTCGGTCTAGTTTGCAAAATATCCCACTATTTCCCAACTAGCGGGATAGTTTGCAACCGTCTTCATTAGACCGAAGTACGGAGTCAAATATCCCGATCCCATCATGCACAACGATTTCCGGTTTTCCTCGCACAGTATGCGATCTATACCGCTCAGCGCCGCGCTAGTACAACTAGTAAACACGGAAAACCGCAAACTAGACCGAGATATCTTGGGATATTATCCCGACCAACTATCCAGCTAATTTGCTACTTCGGTCTAATGAAGACGTAAATATGCTGGATAGTTTGCGATCGGGATAATTCAAATAGCTGGATATTTGGCAATCTCGAGATTGTAACTTGTTATTGGAACTTGTTACATCTATTTGAACTTGTTATTGGAACTGGATACGGATGACGAGCCTTTTGAAGGAGGTGTAGTTCTAGAAAACCCTGGGTACTCTATACTACTCTTTTACCTTGATGAAGGAGGTTTGAAGACGTCCATTGTGTCCTGTTGAATGTCAGTAGGCCTG